GTTTCAGTCAATTGAACCCGTGGAGAGAATAGAAAAGGTGATCTGTCCTTTTCAAGCGTTCCTGGAAATGCTATTCATTATGTGCATGTGGTCTGCATTTCTAAGTTATTGGTCTGGGGAAAATGGTAAATACAAAGCCTAAACGACAAATACATTTCACCGATATGGTTACTTGTATAGGTAATGTTTTTACTTCATGTGACATATAGCAGATCAGGACTCGTACTAGTATTACACAATGTTGTTCTCTGGGTTATATTCCTGTTTGTTTGTTTTTCAATTTTAAATGAAGTCTGTATCACTACAGGCCCGGGATTGTACAGCGCAATTGACGCTTACGGCTAGTCCCCGGATCCAATAGAGACTTTTGGCAAGCGGAATTTTTCCCATCCGTATCACGTATCCGTATTGTATACGTGATACGTTGTGTCAATGTAGTTTTAGAGTTTTGGCCGATTTTCGCGTCGCGTACGAATGCGTCGCTGAGCTGCGAGCTTAGTTCTATTACAGCATGATGACAGAGTATCTAGCCTAAAATGTCCAAGAGGGAGCGAAGTCGCTCGACCGTCGCTGAGCTATTTAAAAATTAAAAAAATTTTGGTTTCACTAATGTATCATTTCAGAAAGTTTATACCCTTTACCATAGAATAAAATCATTTACAGATTTGCAAGGTCCAGCCCCCTAAATTTAGCACGTAGATCAACCAGCATGCAGACAGACAGGAAAAGTATGAAAATTCCGAGAAAAAAAAACATAAAAAAATAATGATTAAATTCCAGTCCTTATCTTGGTTAAAATCACATCAAACACACACCTTCGTGTTCTAGAATACACATATATTCATAAAAACGATATGATATAACATTTCAGCGTCTAAAAGTAGCACAAAAGACGCTAAAAAGATGAAAATGTTATACGGACCTTTTCCGTATGAAAGTTGTTCGATACACGCTGCTGTATCCGTGTGCCGTATCACGTATGCGAAATACACACACATTGATGACGTCACACACAAAACCCATACGAATACGTGATACGAACCAGGAATTTACGCTTGCCAAAAGTCTCTATTCTCTCGATCTTGTTTGTACGTTTGTTTGTGATTCCTGCGTATTGTGTCTTGTTCGTAGATTTGTTTTGTGTAATTATGTGTGGTGCAGTCCCCCTGCACTTACTAATAGAGCAAATGTTAAATGCTAGCAGTCTTACTCTTTCCTGCAAGTGATTAAAATATACTTGGCTGTTTACTTTTATGATTATTGGAACATTTTCATTTTGCTTATCTTTTACATTTAATCGTTAGAAAATAAATATTAGCAGGGTATTAAAATTGGCAGTCATAATTCATCACACATTCAATGAGTACAGTCCATCCGGGTACAATTTTTAGCCAAAAACACATATACCAACGTTTTAATAGTTTATTCCAACATTTCGCTCCGTTTTATGTTTCATCATACACTGGTTCGTTCTTTCGTTCTTTCGTGTGGTTTTACGTCCGCTTCCATCTTAGGTGATATCGCAGACCATATACACTTTTCGGAAGATATTCCTTTAGATAGCCCGTTCAGCAATGGGCAGATTTGATTTGTCGACTTCAGATCAACCTACCAATCAAAACACGTGATATAGATAATTCTGAAAATCCTTTGAGTGCCATATCAAATCTATGTCAAGGGTAGTACTATTGTGTGTTGTCACGGTTTATCTTGTCTGCGATATCACCCTAGGTGCAAGTGGGCGTAAAACACATCTTAAAAATGTCTTTAGATAATTCAGAAACGAACCGGATAACCGGAACGAAAATAACATAGTTTTAATTTATACAATATAGGTTCCTGTTAATAACAAATCAGAACAATGTGTCACAAATATTTCCAACATTGAAAAAACGTCAAAGAATATCTAAAAGAAAAGAAAATGTCTAAAATTGGGTCTCATTTATGAATCCCAATTTTCAGGCAATAACAGCATCCGGTGAATTGCGAAACAACGATTTCTCTGGGTTCGTATATAGACATTGTTCCAGTTCAATATAGCAATACAAATAAATAAATAAAATTTGAAGTAATATTCAAACATCGCATTAAAAAAGCATTAGTCAGATACCAACCTCTTGAAGATAAGATAAATAACAGCCTATTGATTGACACGTCCTGTAAGTATTAAATATCTTTAAAATAATACAGACAATAGTTCCTATCATAATAAAATTGATTTAAACTCCTACATACTCGTATTGTTTTACGTGTTATTTTCCTATTGACTCAACCTCCATAATCTATTTTATCCAAATTGGACCCAACACAAGATTTGAACATTGTTCTTGAAACATGGCGGCATGATGTTTTTCATAGACACCTCGTTAACAATAAAATAACAAACCCGTTTAAAGGTGCGTTAAAGGAAATGTTATTCAAAAATTAAACGAGTCCAAGTTACATAACTCTGATGGCATATATAAACGTTGTCATATTTATTCATTAAACAAAAACTAGATTATGTGCATTCGCAGTGACCTTCGTGGTTTTATTTTATTATTCCATTCAGTTGAAATCACGTTCTCTCATGTTGGGCATATTTTGAAAACATTTGAGAATTATTGAATAAAATACATGTACATGTACATGTATATTGAAAAGGGGCTGTGGATTATTTTACAGGAAGACTCGGTACTCTGGCATCAGATTACTAAGCGCTCAATATACATTATACCTATAATGTGCCTGCTATTCCACTGAATTTTCCCTTGTGTTACACTGCGGAACACGACAAATTCCGCTCATAGTGCTTGGCATAATGCCCGTCTTCATTAGCCCGATTGATGTAGTAACGTGGGACGTTAAACCCCAATTCTTTTCTGTAGACATCTGCTGTCGTGGCCTTTCCTCTTGAACAATTTTAATTCTCAGACAAAAATATTTTAAGTAACTATTTCCTAATTATCCATAATATTAAAGGCGGGAGTTTTGAAGAGAATTCTCAGGAGACATTAGACTAATAGTGAGTGGTCTACAGAGGTGTAAAAATGTAATCTTTATCAGACTGTCTAATGCAAATTATTTATTAAACACCGGGATTAAACTAGACCTGAAGACTAACTGAAGAAGAATATTGTCTGATCCGGGCTTTTCTTTTTACACCGTTTTATATTTATCAGAGAAAGATTTTTATTAATAGAAAGGGGAAAAATATATCATATATTTTATTTTCAAACTTCGCCTTATATTTCATATAGTTTTGTCCCCCTGTTTTCGGTGTATTCACCCTCTGTATACATATATATATTTTATTTTTACCAAGAGGTCGGTCCTTTTATTCAGTTATTAAGATAGCATAGACCTACATGAAGTAAGTTGGTCTGTGTATAGGGCTGCCAGGCTATCTGATAAGTCAATAAATTTCAGAATTTGCCGGTTACGAAAAAAAGTTAGAGGTCTGTGATCTGTGCTAACAATTATGTACTAACTACTAAATGAAAACACAATATATCATTCAGCACGGTGGTCACTATTGACAGACAAAATAAGCTCACCTTTTAAAACAGGTGAATAGACCATTGTAGGCTACTTGAACTTGTCGGAAAGTAATTACGAAACTACCAGGGCTACACTAGGCCTACTTGAAAACTTTCCAAAAATATATTTTAAACAACACAATTCCTTAAAAGGTCCTGGTTGCCCGGGCAAAATTTATCTCATCCTGGCTCTAACAAAAATTACCAGATTATCAGGTGTTAGTTTTCAGATAACAAAGTTTTTTCCACAAAAAAATATTGAATATTATGCTGTTGTGCACCGTACATGTGTTGTTTGCAGTGAAGAATTAAAGGGAAGCTTTGTTCTTCATTAACACTGTTGGTGCAGAAAATTGGGATGCAGCATGCAATATGGTCGCTCTCAGTGAAAATGTGACGACTGTCCACGATCGTTGTGGTTCAACCCATTCTATTAATTTGTTCGCTCTCTGGTGACGATTATCCACGATCGTTGTGATCAACCCATTCAGGGGCGGATCCAGGAATTTTTGCAGGAGGGGGTTTGCCAGGTTCCTGAGACAATTATGTACCCCCCCCCCCCCACATGGTCTCTATCGTCATTTTGGCGTATATACATACACATTGAGCTTTTTAAACAGAGAAATTCACCACCTCGTTTGACGTCAATTTTTATTATGAATTAATACAATGACATTGTGATTCAATTTCATGGATGCAAAGCATTAATTGTGATATCACATAATGTCTATATCATTATCTCGTACTTTGAGTGTCCATCCTGTCCCACATCTGACGATAAAGGATAAAGTAGCCTAAGTACACGGCTGAAAAACTGTTCTCATAAAAAGTGTTGATTTGCAAAAAAAAATTATGTAGCTGAGAAGGGGGGAGGACCCTTCAAAGCCCCTCCCCTCTGGATCCGCCCCTGCCATTCTATTAATTTGTTCGCTCTCTGGTGAAAATGTGACTATTGTCCATGGTCGTTGTGGTTAAAAATAAAAAAAAAACCTACAAGGTTTGGAAAATCAGAGGTTTGGAAAATATAGGCCTGTATCAATTTTATTTGAAACAGGAGAAAACCCAGGAGGATGGACAGGCGATCCTACTCTTTGTCACATATTTGATTCAATGACCGACCTTATGATGCAAAGCGCGCGCGTTATAATAATAGTTAGGGGAAAAGTTTCAAAAGTGTCAGCTTGGGCATATCTAAAACTTAAAACTAAAAGCGTTAGATACCATGATATTCCATGTGCATATTTACTCTAATTTCAGCGATCCTTCCCGTTGGAATTGTTAATTTTGTTATTCAATTGAATTATTTTCCCCAGTGCGTCTGACAATTTTATTTTACTTTGACCTTGATAAATGCATGACGGTGTACATCCAAATTCCTTCGAGTGTAATGTAAGGGAGGCTACTACATTTAAGGTTAGAATGGGTCGTCTCCCCTGCTCCTAAAAGTAGTATAGATTTGATTGTCCAGAGTTAAAATATCGCCCAGAATACGCAAGGCTGGATAAAAAAAACAACAAATAACAAGATGGCTGCCCTGTGTAAGGTTAGTACATTGAGTTTTCCTTCACATCGTGGCATTCACACCAAAACGTAACATTTGTAACTAAATTTACTAGTCATACCACTTCAGTAATGAAAATCTTCCTAAATTATTGAATGGATTGGATGATTTCAAAGCTATAGATACTGTCTTCGCCTGATGAGTTATAATAAAAATAATTGGATTTTCTTCGACTTATAATCTTATATAGTAAAACTAAAACTATGGACATAACTTTAATTATATTTACTGGCAAAATGTAAAAAAAAAAATCAATTATTTGTCATTTAAAACTTACCTGGCATGTTCAGGATGAGGATACTTGACACTGAAAAGTGTCATACATACCTCAAGAGTAATTTTCCCCTCAAGCCATGAGTTCAGATTGGGTGACAAGCCCCTGTTCGGCTGTTGGCAGAAAATTATTTGTTGGGAAACTATTTTGATGTAAGATAATGTAGTTTGGGTCTTTTTGCAGTACCCAACAGTTTAATATTCAAAGGCCAATACATTTTTTTCAAATTTGAATATTTCAGGCCCTGCAAGTTCGGCTATCTGTGTATAATGTATTAAATACACAGGTTCGTTATAGAAGATCAAACAGACCATTGGAGATATACCCCGAAAATATGTCATGGACTAAACCAATTTATGAATTACAAGAACAGAAAATGAAGGAGGAAAAAGAGAATAAGCAGGAGCCAGCTATGTTACATATGGTGTGGCGTGTTAAGAAATTGGCAGGGCGACCATATTGGGAAAAGGATGTTCTAAAGATGTTGAAATTAGATGGGAAAGTATGTAATGTTTTCTTTTTTTAGGTTAGAAATTATTTTCAAGAACTCTGTAGGATGTCAGATGCTCAGTACATTTTATTAAATATTATACTGGTACCACTACAAGAAAACTTGACAATTCACAGTTCAAACCTCGCAAAATGGTGATCATGGTATTTTCGAATTAAATGATGCCGTTTTTTTTTAAATCTTTACATCCATATCAGAATGCTTTGGGTGTTGCTATGCTTAGTTAGATGATAATGTAGTCGCAAGGAACAGTGTTTAGTACATGTATTTCAGATGGTAGAAAAACAGAGGTCCTGTGTAGGCTAAACTTTTGTGAGTACTTAAAAAGAACCATGACGGTTGAAATTCAATGAAAAGTAGATGGAAACACCACTTTCTGGACAGAATTTTCCTAATACTACAATGTATTATTGAAAGTGACTGAATGTCTTAATAAAGACTAGTTTCAGAATTACTTCTCTACTTATCTGCATTGGGGATGTATGCACCAACTCTTATTGAGATTTTGATCTGTCAGGGAATCTTTAAAGGCCTGCCAATGGATGGAATACACATGATCTTGGTTTTCATCTTTACCAAACCCCCCTTCCTGCACCACTGACAAATGGAAACTAAGGAACTTTCTTGGACAACACCAGGATCACACTCTTGAAATTCTGGTTAGTGAGCCAGTGCCTTGTTTGCTGAGCCAACTTGGCTCCCAGTTGGTATAAAGTCTGAATATCAAATATTTTTGAAGCCATATTTTTTTACTTTCCCTTTCAGATGTTCCAGGTACAAATTCATAAAAATACACCAGAAGTTAATGATATGCTGAAATTTGTGAAGCATCTTATAGAAATTAAACCAATAACTTTTCCATATGGCCTGCCCACAGATGAAACTGACTATGAACATTGTCTGTTACAAGATAATGGAGAGTTTGTTGTTACCCAAAAATTGAATGGTGCTGATACCGATGAAATTAAAGTTGTCGATAAACCTGAAAAAATACCAGAAAATCAAATGGACCTAGAAACAATTAAAGCTGATAATAGAAACAAGCTAGAATCTTTTAGTTTAATGTCAGAATATTTTCAAGCGAACTATGAATATAAATACAATCAAGATAAGAAGGAGTACCGATATAATGGGGATCATAATATAGGTGCCGGTAGAGACTGGTATTAAAGAGGAATGTAGAAGATCAAAAATTATGATTTAATCAGTGTAAAAGAAAATATTGTTTCTCTGTTACCGGGGAAAGTGTTAAGAATTTTAGAAAACTGTTCAAAAAATAATATTGACTTAGTGTTATTGTTAGATTGTTTTCTAATTGACATTTGTTGGATTTCTGTGAAATTTAGCAAGATGTGGGCCTTACCAAAATAAATCTTTACAGTACATATGTAATGTTCATTCTATCGCTAAATAAGTTGTGTGTCTACCACAAGTTTTCAGTGTGCTTAACCTAGATCGGGAGATGTTGAAGAGATCAGTATTTCCATAATAATATATAGTTGTATCTATTATACCCAATAAAAATAATCCTTAATTTCAATTTGAATCTTTGCCAACAAAAAAAGAAAAGATAGGTTGCCAGGCAACAAAACATACACCCACATCAGTTAAATCGTCCGGGCGGTCAACAAGGGTTGTCATATTTATAATTTTCGTCGTTTGAGCATTCACGAGGTCCAACAAAGTGAAACAAGAGTCATAACTTTAGAATTAATTAACGGAAGTTGCAAAAACTCAATCAGCGTCTTCATTTCACTAAGTTAAATGAGGCATATAAATTTCATACAGATCGGATTATAAATTTTATCGTTCGAGCATTCACAAGGTTTAACAAAGTGAAACAAGGGCCATAACTCTTAGAAGTAATTAACGGAAAATGATACATATAAATTTCATTTCTGATCTACATGAAATTGTTGTGCATTATTTAAATTAGTAAACCAAAGAAGCCTATCAACAATTTCTATTAATAACTTCTTGTGTTATGGCCCTTGTTTGACTTTGTAGACCTCGCAAATGCTCAAATCACCAAGTTATTATCTGATCGGCATTATATGCATTATTTAAATTAGTAAAAGAGAAGTCTGTCGAATTTCAACAATTTCCATTAAAGAGTTATGGCCCCTGTTTCACTTTGTAGAATCTTTTGAATGTTCACAAGGCTAAAGTTATCATCTGATTTGTATTAAATTGACATCTGTGTCTTGTAAATGCTTCGATTACCCACAAAAGAAGAAATGACAACTCTTGATGATATTATCAAGTATAATCCCTCACTATCTATTTGTACAATTGTCCGATGCACACATCTAAGATTTAATGATAGAAGTAATCATAATAAGACACATGGTAGCATAAATGATTGGCTGGTTAGAATAATTGTTGGAGCAAGCCAAAACATAGGATGCATAATTTGTGCAGTTCTAATTCTTTTTATTTTATACTCTGATGGACAGGTATAATTTAATGGCCGCCAGTAACAAATTATTAGAGGGTGGTGGTGGTGGTTTAGATAGGGTCATATAAAACACAAAGGCATAATAAATCACTTTATTAATCATTCTTCCATGCATTCATAAACCTTTTGTTGTTGACACACAAACTATATGTACTTGATACACACACTGGTTATTAACCATGAAGAATGTTTCTGTTGGAGGCAGGTTTTAGTAAATTCCATGGTTTAGAGACAGAAGGTTAATAGGTTGGTTACGGTTTGTGTATCTCAAAATTTCTGTGGTCAACCTCATACATGTGCAAACTTTTGAGCAAGGACATGGCCAGCTGTTGCCCTGTCTGTGGTGGAAAACATTCAGTAGTCCAATGAATGAGCTGGACAAAGAGACAAAAACTAACACTAATATCAATACAGAAATTAATGTGGTCTGCCTCCTGAGAAGCCTTGAGTTATTCCCCTTTTCACTTAATCCAAAGGAGAAGTGATTCTCTGCCAATATTCCACAATTTCTATTGCCTTGGTATTTTCATTATCATCATATAAATGTATTATAGAAGATTCTAATCAGTCTAATCTAATAAGCAGTAAAATAATCAATAAAATAAAGCTGCTGGTCTCAATAGTGCATTTCCTATACAACATTTAATTTTTCAGACATTGGTCCATATGTGTTTCTTACAGCTCAATACCTGCTAAAATGTACTCAAATTAATTAATATTTAATTAAAAAAAATGAAATAAATTTAGTACGGTAGATAATCTCCCAGCTTAGATTCAACTGGATTAAAACAAGCCCATCGAGAGAGAGGAGGTGGTGGTGGTGGTTTGTTTTTATTGTCTACAGATCATGCCGAATGTTATAAAAATTTTAATTCGTCCTATGCTATTTATGACTAATACGGATTCAAAGTTCACAATATCGTTGTCTGCAAGGTACATGTATTCAAGATCCTTCAACTGACAATCTGCAACTTTAAATGATTACATGTACATGTATCAACAATTTTAAACACAGCACTGCTGTACTAGAGAATATCCTATATTATGTTTGTCTGTATATTTGAGTCAATTTATACAAATATGTACAAATTTACATCACCCATTTTACTAAAGGTCTGTGTTATTGATAACATTCTAGTACTATGATGGTGATACAGATGGAGTAGTGGTAGATAGATTAGGTACAGGTAGTGCAGGTGTATTGGCTAGATTAGTAGCAGCTTGGATGGCTGCTTGCTGTTTCAAGTTTTGTTGTTCCATAAAAATATGCATGGCTTTTTGATTAAAAGCTACATATCTGTCAGCACACATGTAAACACAGTCATTCTGAAAGTAAAACAGGAAAGTATAGAAAGATGTATTACCAATGCAGGAACTTGAAAGGACATTGAAATTAAATGGAGAGTGGCCGATGTGATGCACTTTAGATGATCAGGTAGGTTATAGTGATACAGTTTTAATTGCAGGATTGAACTGGACAAAGAGTAGCTTCTTCTCCCACTGCTCAAGACCAGGGATGTGTATTTGGAACCCAAAAATACATGAACATGTCAACTGTCGAGCATAAATATCTCTTTAATTAAAATAGTAATTGTGTTTCATATTCTGTATTTCTGTTTATTATGACCAGCAGGTTTTCATCAGGATCTCCATGGTTTTTTTTCCACTGTTGTATTAATATTTAGTCCAGAAATGATAAATTTTGCATTGAGTGGATGTTGAAAGCCATTTATCTGTCTCATTACCAGTACAGTGAAATCATTCTGGTTTGTTTAGCAAAGTGGAATAATGGTCAACTTAATGGATGGGACATTGAGCAGCACATCATATTTGAGTGAAGTCGCTTTCTCAATTCATCATTACATAAAGACAAGAATAAACCCACCTCTCTGTTTGATACATCTTTTCTATTAAAGTTATAAACACATCTATCAAAACATTGTTCTGTAAGCTGATTATATAACAAGAGAAAATCTCTCAACTGAAAAAAAAAAAAGAATTTAATTTCAATTTGCAGGCGTATCTGCAAAGATGGAATTAAATTAAGTGTCTGACATAAAATGGAATGTGATTTAGGTCCTAGTTTTTATCAGATGTGCCTGACATTGGAGTAGTTGAGTCTGAAATTCTAAGTGGTGGGGATTTAAAAATAAAAGGCTACATATATACTACAGTCATTGTTTTTTTAAGGCGAGCAATCGCTCTCGAGCACCTGCCACTCACCCGAATGTCGACCGGGGGGGGGGGGGGGGGGAGTTTTTTCCCTCCCCTTAAAACTGAAAATCGCTCTCCTTAACATAGTCATTGGGGGTTTATTATCATTTATGAAACCAGGAATGACCCCATTACATGCAGTTATTGATCTTAGAACCATTTCCCAAGCACATAACTAATCACTTTCCTTAATATCAGATCACTCTCCTTAATTTCTAAATCACTCTTTCTAAACTGGGAGAGTTTTTTGAGGGGAGCGATTTTATTCAATTCGTTGATTGAGGGGAGCTTTTTTTTGGCTCTCCTCTGAAATACAAACAACGACTGATATACTAAGTTCAAAGAATTATGACTTACTAGTGTCTAGTACTAGTCCGATCAGACAACGTTCCTAAAGGAACTAATTATTTATCACAACCCTAAGTAAAATTTGTGCAATTGTTATTCAAGCCAAATCAAATCAGTGATACCCCATTTAAAGTTAGGTTGCCCACGGTTAAATTTAAAAGTTTGGTCAAAGGTGGGGTTACCAAATTATTCATTGAAGAAATTGGGACATTTGGTATTCTGATTAGACAAAAGTAAAAATGAGCATGGAGCGCCTGAAGGGCACGACGTAAATGAGTGCTCATAGCGCGATGTATTGAGCGTCGAAGGCGCGAATTTACTAGGGGTGTTTGGGGGCATTCACCCCCAGAATTTGTTTCATTTCTAGAAGTCGGGAGATGTGTTTTCCGTCATTTTGTTAAATGGACCATTGACAGGCATTATATCGATTTGTTCACTGTCTTGTAGATTGTTTTACAAGTCTTAATTAAAATGTATTTTGTATTGTGACATAAAATCTGTAAACCTCTACGTCGTTAACCAATAAAATTATACCCAAGATATACGTCAGTTTCTATATAGACAAGCGCATTGCAATTCCTGTTTTAGGCCTGTATTATGCACTGAACAAAATTTAGATGATGAAGCACGTTTGTAGCAAACGCAGTATACATTAATTACTAGCCTATAGTTTATGTGTTTTTTGTTATTTTTTTCAATTGAAAAACACCTGGCCCCAAGTTCACAAAGCATTTTCAGACTTAAGTTGAGAATTTACTCAACTTTCAATCACTAATTATGAAAAATATCTTTGATCCAGAAACACGAAACTTTGCACATAGTTTCTTATTGATGTATTTGATACATTAAAACAACAAAGGTTTTATAAAAGGTCTATATTTTAGTTAAAATAAGGAGACCAATTTTGAGTAAATTCTCAACTTAAGTCTGAGAATGCTTTGTGAACTTGGGGCCTGATGTAAAAACCGGGACATTTAGGTACATGACAGGCATCGGGTTGGGGTAGAAATGGTTCCACTACTGATGTCTTCCGTACTCCAGCCACAGTTTAACTCCAGCCACAGTTTAACGTTACAAGTATAGTAACTACGTCGGGGTGGCAGAAAAGACCCCCAAAACCACGATGTATGGTAACCTTAGTAAAAGGTCACGAGATGTAAACAGGGCTAGTGCTTACCCTAACCTTATTTACATCTCCACGACCTGGACGAAAATAGATTTAGTGGTTGCTCACCAATTTGCCGCAGTGACCAATGAAACATAGACTAAAAAAAGGGCATCCGAGAAGACCATAATTTAATTATGACTTTTCTCTCAACAACTAAAACACCAAACTGATCGAAATGAACAAATAAATCAAGGATATTGTTGTCTCCCTTTTCGTTTATACAATTTAAAATTTTAACTAGTTTACTCAGCCACACATTCATGATGATGTAATTACATATTAATTTAAATTATTGATTTGATTCCTAATAATAATGAACCATGGACCATGTTCATGTTGAACACACGCTTAAATTTTTAAATTTAGAGGTTGGTTAATTTATCATTTTCAATCTGTCTCTTAAAACAATAACTCTACTATGAAGTCTGTGCTCTCTTACATTTCTAGCGTTTGTTTCGTCTGCCAGATTCATCCCTAGCTGTTAATATAGCAAATAAAATTTCAGATAAAAATGATCACGGCACAGTATATTTCGTGAAACACGTTTCAGATTCTTAATTTTTAGTTAACCCGCCGGAAATCACGTGGGATCTCGCGAGATGACGTCATGAACAACACGTCGAAGGGACTCACAGATCTTTAGCAGGTAAGATCAAATAGGTTCATGTTTGTTGTGAATAAAAATCAGATGCTGTTAATTAGCAGTTAATTTGTGAGTTGAGCAGACAGCCAACATATTAATTGATTCAATATGGTATTCTTTTTCGCTATATCGGCGATTTAACTGTATGCATACAGTGAAAGAAATCTGTCGGGTGTTTTGCTTTGGCATAACATAACAGTCGACTCGTCGTTTTCAATCATTCATTGGCATACTACGGTGATTCTTTTCATTCATTCACGCAAATTATTTAGTCTGTTGCTTTTGGGGACACAATCAGAACACTGGAGAATCAGTTCTAGGTTGTATACTAGTGCTAGCTGTGTGGTATTTGATCAATAATTTAGAGTCTGAATTTATTGGCATTGTTCAATGATTATTTTTTATTCAAATTATTGTTACAATAATTAAATATAAATAGGCCTATAGGCAATTTATTAATATTAACTGAACCGTACAATGTAGCTCATCCATGTACATTCAGTACATGCAGGTCAACATCATATACACAAGCCAACAGTCTACAATGCTAGACTAGACCATCATCTTGTTTCCAAATGAACAACACCATGGGTTTTATTTTATAGGCCTATTGCAATCATTTTTATTCATAATCACATTGCAAGTGCCTGAAGTGGGCCTAACCTGCATATAGTTGTTAGCTATAGATTTGCAATTTGCATGTTGGGTTAATTTAGTTCGCAAAAATAAACAGACCCTAATTACTTTGGCATTGATCAAGTGTAAACCAAAAGTAAGGCCTAATTCAAAAGCTAAGATAGTACCAAAAACACAATGTAAAAAATTATTTTGTAATACCAGTGTTTAAATTTTAATTACTGTTATCAAAAATGAATTGACATAGGTTTTATGTACCGGTACCGTATAGAATGAAATATCCTTAAGATTCCTTCTTCAAATTTGAACAGCTAATGTTTTTTATTTCAGAGGAATTCAAACATGGCAGAGGAGAAACCCCAGATATCAAATGGTAATACTGACGACACATTTGAAAGAGATTTAGAAGAAATGTTGGAAGATGGCCCAAATGTGAATGAGGCCAGTTCGACTGTTCTTGGTGGCACACCTAACAGAATGACATCTTCCTATCCTGGATCTGGCAGTTCGTATGGTTCTCATTACAACCATGACATGAACGAGTCTCATCTTTCTCGTTCCTACACCATGCCCCCCGGTCTGTCTTTCTTTCATTTCATTTCTTCTTTTCTCACACATCTTTAGTGCATGTTGTATGGTACTGGTATTGGTTCATGTTGTGTATTTTAGTCTGTAATATCTATAAACTGGTGTTGGTAAGAATATGATTTTGATTCTTATTGAGTATATGGGGTGCTGCTTTTATGTTGACCTCATTTACATTGTGTTCAACTTCATGTATTCTATGACTTAAACATTTTTTGTATAGGGGTATTTCTAGCGGATATAAAAATACCAGGTGCTAATGAGCAATTACCTGACATTTTGAACTTGGTATTAGAGATTTATTAAAAATATCATTAAGAACATCTATTAACATAAATCTATGCCAGACAAAAATGATAAGCTCAAAATAATGTCTGTGACAGGTACCTCAATTGTAAACAAGTCTGAGTATTAAAATTTAGACCTCTATATATTCTTTCTAGAACATCTGATACAACTTCTCATTTATCTGGAAAGTACATGTAGTTCGCTGAATATTTATGCTTTACTCCATTATATCGTTTTAATGTTAACCGTTAATTATGGTCCATTTCCAATCTTTTATTTTCCTTTGAACATGGTTACATGCAGGATCCATGGTGGCTCACCAAGTTAGGCAGTGGCTCACTAACCAGGGGTCCAGGGTTCAGTCAATTCCTCAGAAAGTACCTCAGGATGTTTAAGCACAATTTCCCCTTGTCAGTGGTGCAGGATATAGCCAATAAACAGCGTCTAGTTGTTCAGATCGATTGAAAAGCCGAGATCTGGTGTACACATGCCAGTTGGAATTCTAAATAAGAGTAGACCGTAGTGCCTCTGGTATACATGGTATACATGTAAGTCTGTCTTCATGAGTCCTGTTGGTACAGAAACCTCAGACATTTTAAACATAGTTAAGTTATTTCAAGCCACAGTGAATATGACACTAGCCCACTAACCCACAGTTCTGGGTTTAATCACGATGTTGGCTGCATATTTGGCTATCGATGGTCATTAGCACGGTAGACACTATATTATTAAAGATACATTATGTAAGATTTAGATAAAAAGCTGACCATTCTTGCTATGATAAAAATAGATAACATAAAATGAAAATATTGAAAATTTCACTTTAATTTCTTCATTCTGAGCCAAATTATCACTGCATTGTGTAAACCAGGGCACTGGTACATGTATATTCGAGACTTAGTCTCACTTTCTCATTTTTAAATGGCAACTAGTTAAAATCTTGAGTATTCGATGCCACCAAGAGATGATTATGGTCTTGTTTTGTTAATAAATGTCTAATTAATAGTTTATATAATATTTCAGGCCTAAAGAAAGACCTGCAATAGGCAGATTTAGCTTTTGCATAATGTATGTTTAAGTAGTTGCTAGGGAATATGTAAATTTCCATAAGGTTAACTCATAAAATGATGTTTTTGACTATATATCTAGTTTTCCTTGTAGTTTTTAATATAGGTCAAACATCAAAGAAATATTTCTTTAATTAATACTCATCTTGCATTTGCACGACACAATTGTGGTTACATAGTTAAAATTGTAAATAGTAGTAATAATCTCACAGGATTATACATGTGATGTAGATAACCATGTCTTCCAATATATTTTTCCAGATAGGGTCAATAAATTTTTACAGATAGGCCTACACTACACTCAATATATTTTTGATCAGATTTGAATTGATGAAATATTTAATAAGCTCATCTTATCTAAATGGTTTAGAGAGTGTACAATTTGATCCTGTTAAGATTAAGCCATACTTGGTTAATACATACATGTATTAGGATGTATTACATAATATTTTGCTTGATATTACATAAATTGTATATGCTATAAATATTAGATGTCTATGAATTGTATAAGTACATGTAGCTTATAGGATTCAGCCTACAATACATTTTAACATGATGGTGAACCGGTGGTTGATGATCTTAAAGATAACATATACATGTAAGCTTACATCATAATCAGATCAGTAATAGGTGATAATTTTTAGCAGATACTGTAGTGGGAGGGTATAACTATAAATTGATTAGTAAAACTAAATTATATGTAAACCACAGAAATAAGTTATCAAGAAGTTTATAAATGGCTAATTATCTATTTAATCTTTTGAATTACTGGTAATGAAAAAAATCTGGGTTGATTTACATGTAGCATAAAAGAAAATAATAATAATAGTAAGATAGCAAATAAAAAGAGATTATGGAGGGGGTATAATTTATGGCACATTTATAAGTCCCTTTCTTGGAATAAAAAAATATGTATTCTGTGGTACACATAGATTCTATGATTAAAATGAGTCCATGTTCTATAGATTGTTAGTGTTGTCAATGTACTTCTCTTTTAAAGAAAGAGAGAGACTGAGGTACAAATGTAGGTTAGGGCATTGGTTTATCGACTCAAAATGTTCCCAGTTAGAATTCTGGTGTGGCCAACCAAACCATTCAGATTTTTCAAGCCTGGGTTTCACTTGTCAATGGGTGGCATCTGCAAGGTTGACCATCTGATAAGGGAAGTGTGGTTAGTTTTTTGGATGGGATGTAAAACAGAGGTTCACCCCAGACCACCCATGTAAAAAAACGCCTTGAAAATCAAAAGAACAGGAGGCAGAAACACGTAACCATAGAGATGGAAAATATGTCACATGTTTGTCTCATAATGACTGTTGTATTTTTTTGACCAAACATTAAATCCTGTTCTGATCTCCTACAGATCATTTTCGTAGATTATATTTACAATTTCACATCAACATTGATGTAATAATGAGAGTGGGTTATTTTTTTCTGATTCCATTTCAAAGTGAATTATCAAATCACATGCACATCAAGTGTCTAAGTGATTGATTCCCAGTAAGGTTTCTCTATAGTTTGTTTATTGCATGCAATGTCCGTATATTGTCCACATGTTTGTCTTGTATTAACATATGTTTGTCTACTGACTACAGTCTTTGATTAAATGATTAATTAATCATGGGAGTATATTTTCAACATGGTAAGTCTGTTCTGATGTTGAATTTTTTGGTTATCATAAATGCGAAAGTGTAACAAAACTGTGTTAGTTATATGAACTCCTCAGGTGGCATCAGGTGTTCTACAATACATAATAATACATATACCATATCTTATGTTTGGCAGATTGCCAGTCTGTAGTTGCCCAGAGCTATATAAAATTATAGATTAGGGTTTGTTTTTTGATAACAGGAAAAATATAACCTCTTGGGATGAATATAAGCTTTTGAGCCAAAAGGTGTTTTAAATTATATAAAATCCTCAAACGACAAGTGTAATCAGATGTTCTCAAAAAGAGAATATTTTTGGGTCATTGTTAAGCTAATGATTTTTTGATGATGTTTTTTTTTTTAAAAATATATATGTATTTACATATTGTTGTACATATAGTAACATCTGTTGGGTCTGCTTTACTTACATGTACATGTATTGAATTATTCAACTGTACAACTGTTTCCCATTCTATGTCCATTAAGACATATGTTGCCATTCTATCAAGGATTATTTTCAAGTGTTGGCCAGGACATGATGTATAATTTTGGAAATAGTTGGTGGCTGGAAGGTACATGTATAATGTTTGCAGTTCAATGATTTCTACGTGGCTAAATTGTATTGTTTAATCTTGAAAGTAGAATTGATTATATTGTATACATTTTATATCTGGACAGAAGTCAAACATTCTGAAATGGAATTCGGAATACTTAAGTTTGTAACTTTTTTCTAATATTCAAATAGAAACAAGTGATGTTCAAAATGTTTTGTATACTTGTAGTGATGAAGGCTGTGAAAAGGTAAAACATTTAAGACTAACATAAGGTTTTTATTCATTGATTTGTTCTGTTTTAAAGGGATTTTTTAAATTGTAATTGTAATTTCTTAATAGAAACATGGATGTTTATTCATAAAGATTTACTAAAGTAATAAAAAAACAACCAAAATGTCAGAACCGGTTATTGTAGTACTATAAGGAAATTTTGATTTTGTATGTGTACACGTACATGTATGTTGTATAATTTTAAACTGTAAAGAAATCACTTTCCGATTATTTAGAATATTGACTAATAATTTGCTCAGTTAAACACAAGACTGTATACAGTCCTTCTGTGTAATACTTAGATTATACGGTCTGTTATTAAGTGAAGTGGTGTTATTTCTATCTTATACTTGTATGTGACAAACAGTAGGAATGCCTGCCCAATCTTATGGGTTTACTCTCACAGCTTAAGGCTGTACTAGAAAGCAAATTATTGAAATAAAATTCACAATTATATATCTTAGTCCCAAAATGAATTAGTTATGTTTAACTTGTGTTAAAACCCCATCTCTCTCTTTATTTCTTCTATGTCTTTCTTACTTTTAAATACCACAGTACCACATTGGTGGGATTTATAGTTCAGTTTTGGTTGAACTGATTTGTTTATTTTGCATTACTGATTTATTTTGTAACTCTTTGTTGCAAGCAAGTTGTTGCTAAGGAAAAGCTAAGGAAAATAGTCTTTTTTCAATTGCTTGCATCAGCAGTTTATGTTCCGTTAAGTGTTTGAGATGCCAATCATTATGGAAAATGTCACACTAAAAGTCTGATTTATGCTCTCTCTGTGTTCTATAAATGAAGAAAATAATCCGATCAGTATGTCATGAAATAACTGGTAATTCCGTAGAATCTTAAACATTAAGTTGATAAATGGCAAAAAGCCAAACAAAAATTGTAATTAGCTGGAAACGAAACTGCATGTGTTTTATTCATCTTGGCTTTTAGTTGAGAATTACCAGTACATGTATTGGGTTTATTTCAAACAGGAATGTTACAGTGTAAATGTAAACTTAAAACTTGTAGATCAAATAATTATTTGGCAGAAAGTTTTGTTATGCTTGACTTAAAATGTCTAATTACCTAGAATTGATGTATGCTTTATAATTTTCACAGCTAGAAAAATAATTTCTACGGTTTTGAAGGACAAAAAAAAGTTAAGGTCATAAGCTTCAGATTCCTAATGAGAAGATTCTTTCATTTCCCACACATTTTTTGGGATAGTACTTTTTATTATCTATTTCTTAAATGTCTGTGTGTTACTGTCAGTATATGTAGGTTTGTCTTCTGGGTTTCAAGTATTACAGAATTGAAAGTTGGTAACCATGTAGATATTGATGCCTTCCTTGTAGTTTTGTGAGTCACGGTGGCTAACTAACCGGGAAATCCTGGGGTCGATCCCAGCCCAGTATGGTCCAGTGTGGTTTCCCCTTGTCAGTGGTACAGGACAAAGATGCTATAAAAAAAACCCTGAAGTTCTGTCCATATGTTGGCATGTACATTTATAGCCTTTGCCTATCTTTGCCAATTGGAATTCGTTGAAGAACAGATGGAAAAGCCACTGACAGGGGCAAAATGTCTCCCATAGCACACTGCATGGCATCCTCAGTATCCCCAGTAGTATGTTCTGTTCTACTCCACTAACCCCTGGGTCCATGACTCCGTTCACGGGTAGACACATAGTCAAACTATCCGCCCTTGATAATTGTATTATTCATTAAATAGAAAGAGAGTGAGTGAAGGGAATTGACTCACATTTGTTTGTAACTAAGATCACTGAATCGTTGTTGTAAACTTTGTTCACAAATTTTAGGACCTATTTTTGTGTCTTGGGTATTAAATTTCTTGCAAACTTTCTTTCATAATTGAGCATACACGCTGCTGTATTTTGGTAAATGTAAACCGTGACACCAAGACTGATATGTAAACTGCTTTTTGATTGGTTTGTGGAATCAAACTACGGGCCAATGAAATCATCATGGATAAATAATTTGTATTCATGAATAGGCCACCCCATGGATGGATGGACCCAGGGATTAGTGGAATAAAACGGAACAATGCCACTAGGGATACCAACTAGGATGACTGTATGGTGTGGGCCTGTCTTCTATTAGTCTAGAAAAGTAGGACGTTAACCACCATCTCATTTTCCTTGCAATTTCAAAATTGTTTGTTGCTTGTAATAATATCCTGAATTGTTTAAGCACTGATGCTTTTTTTGTGGTATAACTGTTGGTAACAATTATACTAAGATATTCTCTTGTTGTGATATCTTCCTTGGGAATTATAGAATATCACTGCATGGATTATTTTTCAAAATGTGACCTTTTCTTTATATGCAAAATGCATGAATTAATAAAATCAATAAAGAGAAAGCTGATTGTGGTATACTCTTCTAACCCACCTGTCAATATAAATAAAAGATGTGTTAAATACTAGCAATAAGATTTGAAATCAATAAAATACTTGTATACAGCCATACATTTCGTATACATTTAGTAAATAAAATATTGACTGAAGCCCCAGGAGCTTGGTGAGTATGGAACTGGCTCACTAAGCAGGACATGCCAGGTGTGCTCCGATGTTGGCCAAGAAAGTTACTTAAGATTTTCTAACGAGGTTATCCCTTATTAGTGTTGTGCAGTACGAAGGGCCTGACAAACCTAGAATTCGATGAAGGGTAGGTGAAAAATGTCTCTGCCCTCATAACACACTGCATGGTGTATGCCCATCTTCATTATCTTGGTGGTGCAGAAAAGTAGGGTGTTAATTTCCGTTTCATTTCATGTCATCATGCCCCTTATATACAAGGTCATTGAAGTACAATATTGACTATTTATAAATATAAAATACATCCATGTATAACTTCTACTAGACGTATTCTACATTTATATATCTGATAAAATAAAAACTAATATATTTTCCACTCCATATAAAAATTTGTTACTGTACCTTATGATAAAATCAATTTATTATGGATGCTTAGCTTTTAGTATCGGTTTCCATTAGACCTATTCAATATGTGATTTTAAGAGTGGGCTATAAAATCAGATATGTCTATTTGAGTATACAATTTACGTAACAAAAGATCTATTGATTTATAGAAGAATTAAAGTTTCTATTGTCACATTACATTCATGAGCTAAAATGCAATAAGATATTTTAAAAGTAATGTCTATTTCTGCTGAATTTGGAGACAACAAATTTTCTCATGTAAAATAATTAGAAGAGATTTTTGTTTTGGGATTATACGAGCCTATATATGCAGTACTTCAAGCCCACAAATGATATTGTGATCTATTTTTGGAACAGTTTTAAGTGGATGACTGGATTCAAATGTTATAACATTTAATACAAAGATCCAACATATCTAAATAGAGATTAAAATTGGATATTGAGTGGTCTTCCATTGTTGATAAAGTCATGATGCATGAAGGCTTTAGTATCGAATGTCACTTGGATGAATGAATTTAACTTGTACATGTAGTGATTTAAACAGCTGCATTATACAGTAGCATGGTAGTGGGTTGGGTGATAGAGTATGTCAGTCTGTGTTTTATACTGCACAAGTGTGGTGACCGTCATGGGGATCCTATTTGCGTACAAAAACCATATTTTTATCTTGGGGGGTGGGGGTCCTCTCAGAGAAATTCTGGGTGTTGTGGTATGTTTGTCACTGGTTGAGCAATATAAATATGAGATACCGGTAATTGAAGATCAAAATCTCTCAATAGTGAAAACTGCATTGAAACCATGTGATAAGAACAAGATTTAAAGGTGCAGTCTGCCTAACCTGATGGGTTTTCTTAAAAGAGCTCTCTGTCTATGGTTCCTTTGACAGCTACAGACTCATATATGTGTGATAGCAAATTATTTAGATAAAAATACACTGTATTTTAGTCTCAGAATTACCTAGATTTTGTAGAGTGAACTTCAACACTGTTTCACGTCATATCACTGAACAAGTCCACATTGTTTTTGCCTTATTTATATACAGATATTGCACATTTGCTGAAGGGTTTTATGGTGTTATGATTGATAAGTCTGTCAGATTGTAAATTATAAATGTTGCATTTGCCCTTCACATTGGGTATTTGGGTTTTTTTAGGAATTATTTTTATTGTAGTTTGCCCATTGCTTTGTTTGTGTTATTTGTTTTTTTTTTTAGTAACTATTATATTTTCAGTCTGTCGTTTGTTTACTCTTTTTTTTATTTCATTTTCGTGGCCATCTTTATGGGTATTTAGTTTTTTTTTAGTAATTATTTTCATTGCTGTCTGCCCTTTGCTTTGTTTTGTTTTTTTTAATAAGTTATTTGGGTTATTTTTTTAGGAACTGTTATATTTTCAATCTGTCGTTCGTTTACTCTTTTCTTTTATTATTTCATTTTCATGGCCATCTTTACCCCCCTGCTTAAGTCCTACTGCTTTATAAACCAATAAATATACAATTTTTAACATGTTTGTAGTGCATGATCCATTTACATATACTGTATGAATTATATATGTATACACATTTACTTGTACTGTATGAATTATATATATATATATACTTGATATCTAGCTAGACCACTTGATCAGTATGCTTATATAATTATTTATATAAAAATAGGTCAATTGTGTAATGTGTTTTCTCTGCATATATTGTTACCTCTGTATATAATCAGAGTACTATGTCTTCAATCATACATGTGTAAACCTCTGAACATGTTCCTGTACTCTGAAGTAGAGTTTTGACCTTTGTTGATCACTTTAAAAAATCTTATGGATGTCCCATAAAATTATCATCATGTTATCTTGAACTAGAGATAAAAAAAATATGGTATATAGGTACATGTATTTGTGATTAATAATAAATAAACTTCAAAAATATAATTATATATTGTTTTTTGTCATATATTATTATTTTGTTTTGATATTTACAGCTACCAGCAATGTTCCACTGTCTTCAAACAGTCACAGCAATGGTGATTTTGTACCGAAAAGTACCATCACTCAAACAGCAAGTTCTAAATTCGAAACAATAAGAGAATGGAGTATGAACACTTATAAATGTACGCGACAATTTTTATCGGAAAGACTGGGTAAAGGTTCTAAAACCATTGATCTGGAAATGGAATCACAGATTGAAGCTTTGCGTGACACTCAACGCAAGTATTCCAGAATTCTTCAGTTGGCAAGAGCCATGACAAATCATTTTTACCATGTGGTTCAAACTCAACGCACCATGGGTGACACGTTTTCTGATTTGGCCCAGAAATCACCAGAATTACAAGAAGAATTCACTACAAATGCAGAATCTCAACGTGCCCTTGTGAAAAATGGAGAAACGTTATTAGGTAAATGAAGTAATAACTATTTTTTTGTAGTCTGATGATGATAGTTTCTATAATCAGTTGAAGTACAGTGACTTGGTTATAGAAAATATAGATGTGAATAGGTTTATTAATGAAGTAAATGTAATGGCCTATAGGCACCGAAGGGAAGGGCCACTGAGTGTCCTTTGCATTTTTCTGACATTTATTTGATACTAAAATCTACTCGATTGATTATTTGATATATAATGAAGAAAACTAATTCAGATTATCAACGGGAGATAATATCCCGGCCTTGATTCGATTGGATTATAAAGAGACAAAACATTTTACCCAACATTTATAGGTGCTGCTGACTGTTGTCTACAGAGAACGACAAATGTTGCAAAATTTTCAAGACATCATATTGTTAATACTTGAACCAATTTTGGACTGATATTCCTTTTAGAGATTCAACTTATTGTAGATTGAAAGGGATTCAAAATCTAGCAAATAACATTCAGCAATATTACACCTAAAATTTAACCTTAGTACATGCCTCTTCTTCTGAATGCAGGACGGAGGGCCTGACAAAGACATCTTTCTAGTCATTTAGATGGGACAAAAAACCGAAGTCCCGTGTACACATTGGCATGCACATAAAAGATCCCATGAGAGTTGGAATGCGATATAAGAGTAGGCTGTAGAGCCGCTGTCCAGGCAAAAAGTCCCTCATAGCACACTATATGCCGTATGCCCGTCTTCAATAGCCCAGTTCGGAGCAGAACAGTAGGACGTTAAACCCCATTTCATTTCATTTCTTCTTCTGTATGAATTTGGTTTTGTAGCATTGAAGATACATGTACCACATGTAGCTACATGTAACTATGACCACGATGACATCTAGTTTTAAAAGGTGCAAATCTTTTTAGGTCTCTCTTGTTTACTTTTTGGTTTTCTTTTTTGTGCAGGTGCTTTGAACTTTTTTACGTCATCAGTGAATACATTATGTAACAAAACAATGGAGGATACATTATTAACAGTTCGACAGTACGAGGTAGCAAGGTAAGTTGTTTATTTCTTACAATTCTAATGATTAATGTTCATACAAAATTGTTATTAATGATAATAACTATTGTGAAAGGACTAGTTCCAGATTCCACAGTCTATACATGTACATGTACATGGATACAAATATGTAAACCAGAGGTCAAAATGCCATGGTAAAATCTGTTTAAAGGGACACAAAACTGTAGATTTCATTGGATCTTTAGTTGCCCTTAAGTCTAAATTCATATGAATTCTAAAATTTACCTGAACTTATTCGATTCAGAATAAGCTGAAATAAACACATGTTAGAAAACCTTACAATCTCTATTTAGTTCGAACTCATTATCATCTTAAAAGATATCACTACTAGTTGGAACTCATAATCATCTTAAAAGACATCACTACATCACATGTTTCTCTATTTAGTTCGAACTCATAATCATCTTAAAAGACATCACTACTATTTAGAATTGTTTCTCTATTTAGTTCGAACTCATAATCATCTTAAAAGACATCACTACTATTTAGAATTGTTTCTCTATTTAGTTCGAACTCATAATCATCTTAAAAGACATCACTACTAATTAGAATTGTTTCTCTGTTTTTGACTATTTTTGCTAACCATAAAGATATTTATGTTTTGTATCAATATTTACATTTATAAGATGGAAAAACCTCAAATAAATTAGTTTGTCAGTAAGCTTCTTTAACATTCCTGAATCTTCATTTTAAAAGACCAAATGGATGGATCTGGGTTTCGTGAGGATTTGATGTGAATTCTACAATTTATTTATGTATAATTTGACATTGTTTTGTTTAGAAATTGAGGCTCTGTCACTACATATGTATAATAAATTGTGCTAAATATTTGTTCGATCATAATTTGTATGGTGGTATAGTTTTCTTTTGACATGTGACATAAATGGTATGGTGACTAAATTAGTGAAATACCTCACTTTGTACAGAGGAAAGTTTGACAGGTTCAGATATAGTGACCTGTTAATTAATACATGTACATTTATGTCCAATGCTTCTCATATATATTTCTGAACAAGAAACTGCTTTGCAACTATAAAATGAAATGAAATGGGGTTTAACATCCTACTTTTCTGCTCCGGTTGGGATCCTTGTCAATGGTGCAGGACCGCAAGGGCCTGGCAAGGGACAATGTATTGTCGCTCCGATGGCACAAAAATCGAGGATTGGCAGACACGTAAAAGATCAGTTGGCAGTTGGAATTTGATATAAGAGTAAGCCGTATCGTCGCTGTGCTGGCAAAATTTCCTCATAGCACACTGTATGGCGTATGCCTATCGTCATTGGCCCAGTCAGAGCAGAACTGTAGGACATTGAACCCAATTTCATTTCATTTTTTCATGCTCCGGCTGGGCTAAAGAAGGCAGATGAAACAAATGGACCCAGTCATCAACATCCTGCGCTTTTTATTAGTAAATCAGAGAAATTTCTAATGAGAAAAGCTACCATTACTATATGTACAAAGTTTGATAAAGATATCTTGTGAAAACAAAACTGAGACGGAACGATGGGAATGGGTTAGGACAGATTGAACCCATTTCAAAATCTCTCGGTAGGTTTCATGCATGGCTACTATCAACCTCTGCCATGGATCCATAAAATCAGTGTACCCAAACCCATATGTTATCCTGTGTAAATGATTGTCTAATCATTCTAGCATTACCAGTGGCTCAGTAGATTTTTGTACTATTTTAGATTAGAATATGATGCATACAGAACTGATGTAGATTTCCTGTCACAATCACAGAAAGATTCATCCTCTGTGGCTAAACTAGATGAATGCAGAAGGAAATTTGATGAACATAAACTAAAGTTTGAAAGATTACGAGGAGATGTGAATATTAAATTGAAATTTTTAGAAGAGAATAAGGTAAGAAGACTACTTATTTATATATCCTTAAAGTCGTTAATCCTCATTTGTATTTTTCAGACAATTTCAAGATAATTTATCCACGGTTTAATTCACTCAAATTGATTATTTAAGATTTAATAAACAAAACAAAATTAAATATCAAAGGAAGGTAGATAATCTAACTTTGATTTACTCGGATTTAAAAATGGACTTGTCAAACTATTCCAGCAAAAATTATAGATGGCTGTCTAGCTATGACAATATGCAATAAAAATATACTGCCATGGGTTTCAAATGTTATCTTTATGAATGGAATTTGTGGATTGATATTAATTTTAGAGATTTAATTTTCACAATATTGTAGTTTGCAAGGGATTCAAAATGATTCAAATAAATAAAAAACGAGGTCCACCTATTGATGTGCTCGCAAAATACTCCTCTCTTGGTTGAGATCCCCTGTGGCTTAGTGAGCAAGATGTTGGCTTGCTAACGTGAAGGTCCCATGTTCAGTCCCGGTGATGGCTGAGAAAGTTTTTCAGGAGTATCCGGCTTGGTTCCACCTTGTCAAAGCTGCAGGACAGAGGGCCTGGCAAGGGACAATGTATAGTTGTTCGGATTCACTTTGCCGTGCACATAAAAGAACCCTTGGTAGTTGAAATTTGATATAAGAGTAGGCCCATAGTCATAGCACACTGTATGGCATATGGCCATCTTCATTAGTTAAGTCGGAGCAGAACAGTAAGATGTCAAACCCCATTTCAATTCATTTCTCTCTAGCATGGGTTAGAAAACAATATCGATTCCATTATCCATTAAATTTATGGCAGGTGACTGGAAAACATTTTATTTTTTTTTTTATTTTTTTTTTAGGTTAAGGTGATGCACAAACAACTTCTACTATTCCACAATGCAATCTCAGCTTACTTTAGTGGTAACGAGGCGGCACTAGACTCGACATTAAAACAGTTTAACATTAGTTTGAAGAGACCCAATGCTGAGAAACCATCATGGATTGAACAATAGTTTAATCTTGTTTGTACATTTATATAGACTTAATCACACCATTCTTGTTAATATTACGTCTTATTGTCATCATTTAATAATTCTAGAAATATATTTAAAGCAAAATATAAAAAAAATTTGGTTCTCAGATACTGTAATGAAAGCAAATAGGATTCTTCATTTTATGAACACACAAACACTGTATAAATATCAAAACAATCAGATGCTAATTATCTCTGTACATGCAACACTTTAGAATAAATAATTGTGCGGTAATCTTGTGCATTACAGAGTTATTGTCCTTTACTAGGTGTAAAACAGAAATTTTGTGTAAGTAAAACCACGTCCACACATCTCATTAAATTATGTACAGATTTTATACTCAGTTTGAAAGTTACTAAATGTATAAGGTTCTTTCATACTCACCATTCCATATTTTGGGGTCAAAAAATGATGCTTTTATTCAGAAACATGAAGCTATAATGTAAATTAACTGGACCTGTTAAATATTAATGGATTTTGTAATAATACTGACTTCAATAGAAATGTATTCTATGGGTGAATTTTATGAGATTTGTTTTTTTATGCAATCTGGTTAAACATGAATGTTTTATGTAGTATTAGAACAATGTACAGCTTTACTGTATTTGTTTGTTCTTTGTTATTAATTATAAACATTAGTGATTTTATACAAATTCTTAGCGATATTCTATGTTTAACAATACCTTGAGGGTGGGAATGTGGTGTTGAAGATCAGAAACCTTTAAAAAGCGGTGTTCAGTTTGTGGAAACACCTTCCAGGAATTATATATAATGGGTGGGTGGACAGGATGTCTTAATACCTTGTACTGTATAGATAATCAGGCCAGTTATATCTGCTAGTCATGGTCGGTTTGCTCCCGGGTTTCTATGTTACGGGTCACCTGTCCATCCTCATAGGGTTTCTCCGGGTAATCAAGTTTCCTCTCACATCATGCCATTTGTCATGTTAGTGGACATAAAACCTCATTCCTCCCTGTGTGTACTGTTCTACATGTATTAATAAAACAAATGTGATTAATTCCAAAATGTAAATGAACCTCAATTCTTAACATGCCAATTATTATTAATCTGTCACCCAGACACATTCAAAGAACAGAACCTTTTTGATTTAGGTCGAAATAAACAACTGAATTTCGTTCAATCTGTAAGTTATTTTAATTAGAAATGAGTCAAACTTTTTATGATTTGATATCAATATTTTTTGTCTCACCCGAATGACTAGCAGTGTTTTAACTTTATCATGCTAATACAGCAATAGATATGTTGTATTACAGATAGAAAATATTCATTATACAACCTACCTTGTGATAATGTATTCATCAATTAATGCTTATCAAAGAATATATTAGTACCAGTAGCTGCTTTCCATAAGTATGTGTTATATTTAATTTTAAAGTTGAAAGATACCCATCTCTCAAAACAAATCGGCACATAAGATTAAATTAAACTGACTTTCAATTTTACCCAAATCAAAGAGGTTATGTCTTTATACATGCAAGATATATATTATGTGAAAAAGCATTGATTTTTATTGTGTATGGTTGTATATACTTTTTCATCATTGTCTTATGTTTATATAATAGTCAAATATATTGTTTCATTTAATGAGGGAATTCCATGCAATAAGAGGGTTAATGATTAATTAAAGGGACAACATGCCAAGACTAAAAGTCTGATAGAAGACCCCAATACCACAGTCGATCAGTTTGAATAATTTTTGGACCAGTGTGTTTTTATTTTTAATAAAGACAATTTTGATGTGGAGGGTCTACAACTCATAACCTTTATCCTGGCATGATGGCGCTTTTAATCATTTAAGAAGCACACAATTATAATTAACCATTTGTATATAAATGTATTATGTTTCACCTATTAACTTTAAATATATAAACAGAAATTGTGATCTCTTTAAGTAAGCTTATATTAATAATAGTCTGCTCTTTAGATTATAGAACACTTCTTGCACTTCTATTTGGACCCCTTTCATATATTATGATTATCTGCAAATTTAATCGATCTTCCACATTTCTCAAATTGAACACTCTAATTCTGAAATGAGTTGGATTCAAAAGATCGTGTCTCTGTTCGGTAAGTGATACATTATGGGCATTATTCTAGAATATTGCAAGTACCAAAGTTTATTCTGTTAGGATTTCTAAATTAATATGCATATTCATTAATTAGTATGATAAAGTCTGATTAATGACACAAATATAATTCTGGTTTGCAGTGACTCATTGCCATATAAGAAAACAAATCATTTGGCATCAGTGTCTCTGGGGTAAAAGATGTATTTGCAAGAATTTATGTATGTAGAATAATGTATTTATACACATAAACCACAAACAAGTTTAATATATGCAACCATCAGTATGGTGAAATATAACTAAAGGCCATTGGCATAGGTTACTCGCATCAATTAAATCTATCTCTAAGTTGGTTTTTGTCCGTATTCAAGTTTTCTGGACGTTAGAAGGATAATCTACATATAGGTATATATAATCAGATGTTGTGACAATGAGCTTTGGAGGGAGGAGGCTTTTTATATTGCATGAACTGTTTTCTGAATTTTTACGTGCTCATTATTGTATTGCTTATTGAAAACTTACAAAAGTTGATACATTGCATCTAGGGTAAATAACTGTTACTGTTCAATATTATTAGTCTCTTAATTTTATTAATGAATTGATTATTATTAGTATTATACTATATAAAATCTCAGTATTAAATATGTATGCTTGTTTCAACATCTCTAGTCTGTATATATAATAGATGTTGATAATTTATAGTAAATCTTAAAGTAAACGACTACATTTTAATGTGGATTAAAACCAGGAAAAGTTAAATATTGTCTGAAATTGCAAACAATTAGCCGTTTTAATAGAAATAATAGGCTTATGGTGTAAACCATCTAAAACATCATTCATAACTTTAAAATCTGTCGAACCAAAGTCTGTAGTACTGATAAGAAAAGCCAAAAGATCTGAAACCTTGCCCTATGCCCCATTAACATATTTGCTTTATAGGATTAGCAATCAAAAAATCTCAAATACTGGTACATGTAAATTCAAATCAATTAACTAATTTTTATCATTGATTAATTAAATTGATCACTCATTGCTTTGTACATTGCTTTGAATTAGCATAATCATTAAAATTGGTGGATTAATACATACTTAGCATCTATTTTATTATTACCATTTTAAATTTAAATATGTATGTTCATTTAGATTACAATGTAAAGTGAATTTTGGTTGTTACGTAATGTCTAATTTAATTTCATAAACTACATTACAGATCTTATTTGGAAATATTATTCCAAAAACTAAAAAAAAAGATTACCTTGTATTTCAAACCCATTCATTTTGGGTGGTTTTATGCAAGGGTGAATATTATTTGTCTAAGGTATAGATTTAGGCTACACACAAACTGTAATTTAAACAAACTATTTTTATGTGAAAATTTTAAACAATTGTATTTTCTGTCCATATTATACTGCTTTTAGTTACCAATTCAATTCTATATCTTGATTTAGTTTGGATTATATGTGAAAAATCTTGTGGTTATAAAAATGGCATGGAGAGGATTTTACGCTTTTGGTACTTGCTGTTTGAAGTTGTTATATCTGCTGGGCAGGCATTAAAAAAAAACAGAGCAGAAATGACATTGATCTGATGAATTCTGCAATTACACACACTTTAAGCTTTTTATAATCAGTTATCAAGCAAATAATTAGCTAAACTAAATATAGATTAATGTAATTGCCTTGGTTATTTAAAGTAGTTGTCTATGTTAGTGATTTAAAACTTTTTATTTATAATAATTATCTCTCTACGTATATTAATTTGTTTATCTGTTGATTATTTCTCTATGTTTTATTTATTTCTGATTCTGTAACTTATAACTTGCTATTAATATTAAAAGTAGTTATATGATCAGGTTTGTTGAGGATTTTATTTATGAGAAAAATTTATTACAGACAGGATAGGTTACAGACAGGATAGGTTGATAGGCAACAAAACATACACTCACAGCAGCAAAGTTGTTCAAGCTGTCCTGAAAGTAATTTTTGGAAACCATGGATCATCAATGGGATTCTTTGTTTCATGGACACAGTGTAAAATTGTCAATCCGTTGATAACTTTGTCTTTACCTTAGTAAGTATTCACAAGCTTTGTCAAAGTGACAAAGAGCCATACCACTGCAGCTGTCGGAAATTGTTGAAATTTAATGAACTTCATCATGGACATAAACACTGTGCATAAAATTGAAATCCGCTAGATAACTTCAATCTCTAGGATGGTCAACCAGATTTTTCTAATGGAAAATGAATCAAATGATAACATTTAAAATAGAAAACTTTAGTTGTATCCAATGTGATTAAGGACAATAACTGTGCAAGTAAACCCTGGAGCCTCGATGATGGACAAATGGTGGTAATGACAAGGGCTATTGTATGCATACACCAATATCTACACAGGTACATTTTTCCATCCCATCCAAACAACTAGATTGGAAAATCTAGAAGAAATTACTCTTGTCAACAATGGATTGACATGAAGGCTGATCACCCCTCAATCCCTTCCCACAGTTTTTAAAAATAGCACATTTAGAACAAAACCATTTAATCTTTCAGATATAATTAACTTTATTTGTCACAGTAGTAACAATAACAACATCAAGCCGAGGATTATACCTCTCAAACAATTTTTAATCTAAATACATGTCATATATATTCGTAGATTATAAAATTTACAATACAAAATACATGATGATTTGAAAATTAAAATGAACTGGAATTTAAAATCTTCTCAATACAAAAGTTTGGTAATTCTGAAACTGAAACTAACATGCTATATTCTATTCTAGTGTTACATGTGAACTGTGTTATGCATGGCAGGAAATTATGCCTGGACAGCAATGTTTCAGCACAACTTCTTTGATTTATAAGTGCTTTTGTACAAGACCCTGTTTTTTTTTTCGTCCCATCCAGACCTGTGTCAAGGGTTATTTACATACACATCGGTTTTTCGTCCCATCAAAGCGACTGGTCACACCTGACAATTGAAGACCTGGCTTTAAAAATCTGAAGGTTCTACCGAGTCCAAGCTTGGATTCAAACCCATGATATTCTAGTTGAGAATCCAGTGCCACTTAACTATCATCGCCCCCCGATTTCCAACTTAAATAGTGTATATTAGTGACAATTCTTTATATACTCAGCCAAATTAAAAACTTGACACTGATGAATTTCAACAAAAAATTTTTTCTGGTAAGTCAAATAAATTTTAAAGTGTTTCTAACGATAGTAAGTAGTAAGAAGCCTTTAATTTCATAAAATTGTAAAGTCACATGGATTACGTGACTTTTGAGCATATAAAGATGAAAAACCTGAAAAACATGTGCAAACACAAACTCATGAGGTCAATCGATGCAAGTTTGCTTAAACTAAACACGCACAGGTAACTTGAACAGGAAAAACAAATTAAAATTGTTATTTTCATCTTTGTTAGAAAATGCCGCGCCTTTCAAATGTAGAACGTCTACGTGCTATAGGTAGGCTCTATGCTGGTCAGTCTGTGGTCACTGTTGCAAGAGCCTTTAATTGTTCACGCCAGACAATAATTAATCTTAGAATGAGAGTGCTTCAAACTGGAATTATTGCCGACCGCCCAAGGGCGGGAAAGCCACGTGTGACATCACTCCAGGAAGATCAAGCAATACGATTACGTCATCTTAGAAACAGATTTGTCACTGCAACCTCCACAAGTAGAGAGATGTTTGGTGGAAGGGTAACTGCACAAACTGTTCGAAATCGCTTGCAGGCTGCTGGTCTTCGAGCTCGGAGGCCCTATAATGGACCAATATTGACACCTCTTCATCGCCGTAACCGACTTGTGTGGACCACAAGACACATAAGATTTACTCAAAGACAGTGGAATTCGGTTGTCTTTAGTGACGAATCACGATTCACTTTGAGATTTGCCGATGGCAGGGTCCGAGTGTACCGCAGACGAGGTGAACGTTACGCTCAAGTATGCGTCAGAGAAGTTGACCGATTTGGTGGCGGCAGCGTCATGGTTTGGGGTTCTTTTTGTGCACATGGACGTTCTCCTCTTGTTGTTGTCCAAGGGAACTAAAATGCTGTCCAGTACAGGGATCAGATTTTGCAACCTGTTCTTCTTCCGTTTATGCAGAGACATGGGCCTGGACTAACATTTGAACAAGACAATGCTCGACCCCATACAGCAATTGCTACCCAGAATTTTTTAAGAAATGCCGGTGTCCAAGTCCTGGATTGGCCGTCGCTTAGCCCCGACCTTAATCCTATTGAACACATCTGGGACGAACTGGGTTGACATGTTCGTCAGCAAGTGAATCCACCACTGACGTTGCAGGACCTTCAACATGCTCTTGCTGAGCAGTGGCAACGTCTTCCTCGGGTAGTGTTTACTAATGTTCTGAGATCCATGAGAAGACGTTGTGTGGCAGTACAAGACCTAGAGGAGGCCACAACCGTTACTAAACACTTTATTCCGATTGTTCTCCAAGTCTGTGAATTTCATTTTGGGGGGTACTGTGACATCACAAACGTTATCAATGTCAAGGACTTTCGGCGAGACGTATTTTTGCTTTCTGTTGATGTCAAGGTCGTCTGTGCACAGCATAACACTAAAATAGTTGCCTTAAACCAAATATTAAAAATCTAGTCCCAAAAATCCTGAGTGTCAAGTTTTTAATTTGGCTGAGTATAATTTTTCAGGAAAATAATGACATCACTAGATATTGGACGTGAATCACGTGATATATATATATATATCTATTTAACAACTTATTTATCACTTAATGGAAGATAAAATCATAAAAAGTGTTTAATATAGAAAATAAAACATGACACATTAAAAAAGAAATACCCTAAATTCTGTTCACATTGATCAATAACCAGTAGTTTGATAGTCATTCTTTTAGTCATATCTAAATCTTCTAGAAATAAACAACGTGCTTTCAGTCATTTATTTAAATTTTCTAGATATAAATAACGTGCTTTCAGTCATTTAAATCTTCTAGAAATAAATAACGTGCTTTCGGTCATTTATTTAAATCTTCTAGAAATAAACAACGTTTATGTACTTCGTCCACACCAAACTTTCGGGTAAGTTTTTTAATATCTTCTTCTTTAGAACTACTCAATAAATCGTCATCATGTCGACCCCAACCTGGTAACCCTGACAATACAAAAAAAAGCAAATTGAACAGAAAATTAAATTCGAAACACTGATAAATTTGATAAAGCTTTAATGTTTATACAGCCAGAAATCGAGACATTTATCTCCATGTAAACAGAAATTATTAAATTTAGGAAATTTCAAATTGGCAAAAACCACAACTACTATAGTATGTAACTGTGTGTACAAAGTTACATAAAAAATATATCGAACTGGACAGATAGAAGGAAAGTCGAATGAAAGGATGAAGCCTATTTCAATATCCTTCCAAAACTTCATTCAGCAGGGGATAATAATGACTATCTACAATACAATTGCTATTGTTCTATAGATAAAACTACTTACAGTTCGTGTCCCCACCATATTCTATATAATGTATAGCATCTCGAACCCTACCACTATTAGTCCACAATATTTGTAAGGTTTCTTCCCGTGGTAAATCATACTTCATTTTAAATTCCTATAAGACAATTTATTTATATACATTAAATTTTATTATCCTCGATACTTTATTATAAAGAATGAGATATTAATATGGCCATTAAACACATACTAGAAGTTATTTCAGAATTAACATATCATGGTATATTTTTATTTTAATAATTAATACACAAGATATGGGTTCTTTTTCACACAAACCAGATTCAAGTCATAAATAAAAGCGTCAATTTGAATGAATTTTATGTGTTGGTTTTGCATATAGAGTTAGCATTAGATTAATCATTTATTTTGGCTTTAATGAATCAGGCCCTTGTCTTACTTACACCAACAACATCTTCAAGAACTTGATCATATTCATCAGAATCATCATCTCCATCATCTGAAAAATATACATACACTAATATAAAACATCTGAGATCCTGTTTAATTAAAAACTTAGTGTATTTATATCATTGTTTCATAAAGACAGTTATACAAGTCAACTGTAAATTTAACAGTAAATGCTGGTGTATTTTTTCAAAATATAAAATGGCTAAGAAGGTTAACAGAGAGAGGAATGGGTTTAACATCCACTGGAAACAATCTAGGTCATTTCGGGGGGGGGGGGGGGGGGGAGTATGTTCACAAAACATTTTCAGACTTAAGTTAAGAAATTACTCAACTTTCAATCACTGTTGATGAAAAATATCTTTGATCCAGTAACAAAAAACTTTGTACATAGTTTCTTACTGATGTATTTGATGCATTAAAACAACAAAAGTTTTATAAAGGGCTATATTTTAGTTAAAGATGGGTGATTTAATGGTATATATGGACTAAAAACATATTCAAACTAATTAATTTGTCATAACTTTGCTTCAAATCCTTCTCAAACATTGTAATTGCGAAGGAATGTCCTGCCATAAAAATTCGATCAAACCAGGTCATGTTTACGTCACATGACTTACCTCTCTTGGAAGTCAGAGGAGAATTCATTGCATACATAAGACGATGTTGTCTTTAATCGCTTACTATTTATTACAAATATCTAATCCTAATTAAATTCTCGGATTATCCACTACCCGCGTCTTTTTCCATCATTTTTATCTCAGAAAGTATTGTACGTCTAACTCTTCATTAAGTTTATTAACTTGTACATCAAGCGCTCAATGTTCACGTGTGACCTTTGACATCACGCGTGCAGAAATTCCTAATCGTCGGGCTGTTGATTAGGGGAACCCTTACATTTTTGTCCTGTATACGCTCCATGAGTGTTTTTCAGGGAATCCAGTATTTTTCTAGTAAGATTGGATATCTCTACTTTCCATATATACCAAAATTACCATACTTTTATTGGAAATAACCACCCGATAAATACTTTTCTGGGAACTCATCTTTAAAATAAGGTGAATAGAGAGAGAAATGGGGTTTAACGTCCAGTCGACACAAAATAGGTCATTTCGGGACTAACATGGTTTAATTTTATTTCAATAATTTGCTTGCGCGTAGGGTTCTTTTGCAGAGGGAGGAAACAGGAGGACCTGGAGAAAACCCACAAGGTTGGACAGGCGACCCTACTCCTTGTCATGTACAACCGGTGATTCGAAACCACGCTACTTGACTCAATGACAGGCTAACCATTCAGCCATCCCAACCCCCCTAAAATAAGGTGAATAATTTTGAGTAAATTCTTAGCTTAAGTCTGAGAATGCTTCATGAACTTCGGGGCAGGTTTGACTTTGCACCCAGTTTGGCTCAGTTCCTGGATGAAAACCCATCAGTTACAAATGTATTTAGTGTTTATATGTATATATGGGAACCTACTCACCAGTTGGACTATCACATGATAGTTCATCCATAATAAAACTCTTTAAATCATTCCTTGACCCTAACAAAATAATTACAATAATTTATGTATAGCAAAAAAATGAAATTACCAGTTACAAATTCTTTGCAACACTATTTGTTTCAAACAAATACCCATCAAATATTAATTTAAGCTAAAAAAAAACAACATATATTAATGCTGCTAATTGTTATTTGCATTTTTTGGACAATATCTAATTTTTCATGGCTTAGTGCATGCTTGATTATTTAACTTTTAAGAAACAAAATCAAATAATGAATGGTAGATAATCTCCCTTCCATGGATTCAATCAGACTTTAAAAAATGTCTACCAAAAGATTTTACTAATACTTATAGGGAGAGAGAAAGAGAGAAATGGGGTTTAACGTCCACTCGACATAAACCAGGTCACCTCGGAACCAACACACGGTTCAACCTTATTTCAATAATTCGCTTGCATGTAGGGGTCTTTTGCAGTGGGAGGAAACCGGGGAATTGAAACCACACCAGTTGACTCAATGACAGACCTTATGATACAGCACACACGTGCTAACCATTTGACCATCCAGCCCCCAACACTTATAGGTGGCACTTGCTTGTTACAAGTCGATAGAGGAATGTTGTGGTTTGCAAGGGATTCAAAACCTCTCATATGACAATCAGCAGCTTAAATAAAGTTAAATTCAACCAGAACAAATATTTTCTCTTATAGTTCTCATACAACACATACCCAAAGTGGACACGTTATGACATCAAACATACATATCATCCAAAGTTGACATACACCGGTGACCCAGTGAAACATGACTGGCATGACAACATTATGACATCAAACACATATATAGCAGACAAAGTGTTCAGTTAAGCAAAAAGCTTCACTATTATGCTACTGGGAGCTTTAATATGACACACATAATGAACAAGATTCCTTTAAAGATGCAGATCATAATTTAAGGGATTTTGAGTCCCTTTTCAATCTACAATATTGTGGAAGTTGGGGCTCTAACAGGAATATCAGTCCAAAAATGATTCAGTGTTTACAAAGATATAAGGAATTGAAAATGTTTGCAAAATACTCTTTCATGTGCCTACCAATGTGCCTAACACACTGATTCAACATGGCTCCTAGTGGGTAAATAAAACTGTACCTGCTCTATGGTTCCTTTCTGATTTTTCATTTTTAGACGATGTTGGTAATAATATACTGGTACTTCTAGTGCGAACGATTCTCTTCGTAACTAGAGATGTATCTTTATCATTATTCATTGTTTGTTTGACTGGCGATATATTTTTGCTCGTAGTTTGTTTGACTGGCGACACATTTGTACTCTTTGTTTGTTTATGTGGTGATGTACTATTATTGTTATTCCTCATAGGGGTAGGATGCTGAGCTATGGAATACTTTGTTGGAGAGGTTTTTTTCTTAGATGGGGATGAATTTGCTGGTAATGTTTTCTTGATTGGAGATGAATCACCTGTCTTGACTGATTTGTTGGTCAGAGATGAACTTCTAGTTGTTTTATTAACTGGGGAATCCGCTGGGGAATCCGCACTTGTTGTTGCTTTGTTTTCTGGCATTTTTTTCTTGGATGGGGATAAGTTACTTGTTGTGATGTCGATACTAGTCGAGGGTTTATTCCCAGCTCTAGTCTTTTTCTTTGTCGGAGATGTTTCTAGTTTATTGCTTACTGGGCTCTTGGTGGGTGACATATTACTTCTGGTGTTTGGTCGTTTTTTAGGAGACGCTGAATCACTGGCATTTTCATCACTTCCGGATTTTGCTTTTCTTAACTGGAAGAATAAAAATGAGTAAACAGTAATATAATAAAAACCAGCGGCTGCCAGGCAGGATATGCCCACACGTTTCAAGAGATGGATAGAGAACAAGCTAAACAAAAAGCGATTTTTTGTACAGCAACAGCAACCAAGATCTTTGGGTTATAAACGGGCGGCCATTTTGTCTGGCAGTTTTGGTTCGATTTTCATGAAATTCGAACTCAACCAACAATACGGAGTAACAGTGACATATTCGAACGTTTTTTTTAAATCAGATAATAATTGTGACCTCTTGAGGGACCACAAGCTAAAAACGTGATTTTTCGTACAATCAGGGGTCATAATTCAGTTACGATCCGATATGTGCGAATATCAAAAGGAACCAAGATCTTTGGGGTATAAACCTGCATTTGAAGTTTCAGGGGCCATAATTCAGGAAGTTACGATCTGATATGTGCGAATATCAAAAGGAACCAAGATCTTTGGGGTATAAACCTGCATTTGAAGTTTCATCAAAATCGGCTGAAAATTGTGAGCTGTAGAGGGTCAACAACCTTTATATACCATATTTGTACACTGTTTGCGTTCGAGGGGCAGCCATTTTGTCTGGCAGTTTTGGTCCAATTTTCATGAAATTCAAACTCAACCGTCATAAAGGTGTAACGGTGATATATTCAAACGTTTTTTTAAATCAGAATAAAATTGTGACCTTCATAGGGTCCACACGCTAAAAAACGTGATTTTTCGTACAATCAGGGGCCATAATTCGGGAAGTTACCGTCCGATACATGCCAATATCGAAAGGAACAGAGATCTTAGGGAGATAAACCTATATTTCAAGTTTCGTTGAAATCGGATAAAAATTGTGACCTGTAGAGTATCCACAAACAATTGTGGACGGACAGGGGCAACGACAATATACGTCCACATGAAAATGTAGGCTAAAAAAAACAGGATCATGTGAATCATGCATTGTTTGTACAATTGTTTGTCAAGAATTGGTAACAAATTAAATGAAATGGGTTCATCGCCTGCCATATAAGACATTCCTTGTAACAGGAAAATGAAGTGAAATGGTTCATTTTGACGGGAAAAAAAATGCTACCTAACATAGGAAATACTTGTAGTTGAATTATATTAAAGAGAATGGAAGCTTTTGATTGACCCTATTTCCTGAAGCTTAATTCTGGCCTCAGCTAACCCAACTAAATATGTCCATGTACAAAATTTAGTAACAATATGACTGGTTTAACTAATAAAAATGAGCACACCATGTAGTGTGTTTAAATGAAATTTTGCCTAAATTAAGTCTCCTTCAAGGTACATGTAATAAGTGTCATTCTCTTAATTAGTTGTATTAACAATAATTGTATTCAATGAATTATGTCCAGTGTTAAGATTACATAAGTGCATAAACTGATGATGCGATATATGTAAAACCTTGAAATGTGATGTTTGTGATAAGTCATTTAGCCACACGGACCTTACAACAAAAATAAAAACCTCCACCCTGAATCAGATTTTTTAAAGGATTTTGTGAGAACTAAAATATTCTTTTCATATGGCCAAAACAAAAAAATTCATTTAGATGATGGTTTTTATAAAAAAAAAAAAGTCTTTTTGTTTCTTCGGAAAATGATTACCCCTCGGATAATGCTTATAAACTTACAGCTGAAACTTTTCTTGTAGTTATAAACTCCAATCGTTTAGACGGAACAGATTTTTTCTTCTCCTGAGGTGACTCCTCTGATGATTCATATGTAACATTTTCTGGACTAGAATTTATCGTTTTTCGTGGGGATTTCTCAACCGGTTCTCCATCATCGATTTCTTGATTTTGTCTTTTCTGGGGTGAGTTCTCTTTAGATGACATTTCTGTTAATTTGTACAAATTTCTATCAAATTCGTCCTCAGAATCAAAGGAATCACTTTTTTTGGAATTATTGTCCTCCAACTCACTCTGACTAGAGCTGAATGTTAAAGGTCTTAATTTAATGGCATCCTGAGGTTCAGGAAAATTTGAATCGTCACTTAATATTTCTGCGTTTACATTCAACTCGTTTTGAACGCCACTGCCATTCTTTGGTGTAGAGCTCACAACTGGTGCTCTACTAGTTTCAGGAGTTTTTTTCACATTTTCAACCAGTGATTTACTTGTTGCAGTATCAGGTTTTTTCAGTGGACTTTTGTTTTGTGAATCCGTTGTTTTCTTTCGATCTGAATTTGTTGCAGGACTTTTAACTTTGGAGGCCAGATTTGCTAGAGATTGAATACCTTCATCTAAAGAATCTGATGAAACTGAAATAAAAAAAACATTTAACAGAAACGAAATGGCGTTTATCATATTGCTTATTCAGAACCAGCCGCTCTAAATGAAGATGCAATGAACTATGCGAGGAAATTTTGCCAGGAAATGGTTGCCACTGCCTTCTCTTATTTTGATTATCAACGTTCAGGGGATGTTCAACATGCCTTTGGTGGTATACAGTCACATTACCTCAGCTTTTTGTCCCATACATTTAACAAAATCAATAATGTAAAATACGTACACTTTCTAGGTATCTTCTATATTTATTTCACATACAGGCTTCAAATGAAATGAAATGGGGTTTAACATCCTACTGTTCTGCTCCGACTAGACTAATGAAGACGGGCATAGGCCATATAGTTTGCTATGCGGAAAAGTTTGCCCAGACAGCGGCGCTACGGCCTACTCTTATATTGAACTGCCAAGGGAACTTTAACGTGCACGCCAATAGATACCTGGCTTTGTTTATTCGACAAATACTAAAAGCTAAATGTTAATAAGAACAGTTTCATGATGTCTAAACATCGTTTATAGAAAACTGTTTCAAAATTACTGGAAACGATAAAAATGTAAAGAAGCAAAACTTCAATTTCTATTATGTCTTTAACTCCTTTTATTTATCACCTATTCAACAAAATCATCGGTTTTCACTCCTACGATATTCTCAAATCCTGGCTTCCTCTCCCACATGTATAAATCTCTCTTACAGACGACATTCACTCAAACAATAATACAATACAGTTGACAAGGTTAACAAGTTTAATGAGATTGTGGCCATGATGCAAGTACCGGTATATACTTACAACTAGATGAAGAGTTTAATGCTTTCTTTGTATTTCCTGTTAGCAGTGATTTCCAGGAATTGGCTATTTTATATCTATCTATATTGGGTAGAATGTATTTTAAATATCTCTCTCTCATTGACTGATAGGAATGATCTGTTACCTATAAATTAAAAGCTTAAATTAAACATATTTACAAATATAAATTGATTAGACATACCTTGATTTCATATGTTCACTAGTTTTTGTGTTAATGAAAATATGGTTTTGTTCAATGTCTACAGATAAAGTTAATGTTTAGTTATAATTCATTTTGTGATCCAATGTCGATACAGTAAACCAAAAATTTGACTAAAATTAGGAAACCAGACAACTTTCGCTTAATCTTTCCAAATGTAATCGCATAGACCTTGCCTCATCCTACCAGTAATTTGTGTCATTCTAGTCACGGTTCCCGTGCTACAACAGTAAAACTACCACAAACCACCAGTGGAGGACATATATAACAATATATAAGTTATATCCTTTTAAAACTTGTTCTTTAGTGCATGTATGGCACTGGCTCACAAAACAGAAAGTCCAACATTCGATCCCAGAAAGTCATCCAAGTTGTGTGCACATAAAAGAATACATTTCCAAGCCAAATTTCCATTAAAGCACACTGGATGCCATAATATGCCCATCTTCATTAGTTCAGATGGTGCAGAAATGTAGAACGTTAATCTCCATTTCAGTGCCACGATGGCTCAGCGTTGAAGGTGCTGGCTCACTACCCTGGCGGTCCAAGGTTCGATCCCGGTTTTGTCAGGGAAGAATCTACAGGATTTAGTAGGACACTAAACTCCAATCATTTTATTTTAAACTTCATTCCATTTTGTATATGTGTTACCTGTACCTGATTAGTTGATCCTCCACCAATCATCCAATGAAATTCAGCAAGGAATGGGTCTGTCTCATTCAGTAACAGAATTTTATTGGTGAAATTTGCAAACTTTAAAATGGAAACATAGACTAAACATGCATACTGTACCTACCTTAAGCATGACCATATCCTTCCACAGTATAATTCCACTAACATTATTATACTGTCTTTTTTTAATAATATATGTTATAATAGACAGATCTTCATCTTCAGTATACTTCTTTCTCCTGAAAAACAAACAACAACATGTGTTACAGATATGTCTAATAGATCAGAATAAATTGAATACAATGTATCCCATATTCTGCTCGCAGAACATTTTGTATTTCTGTATCACAAAGAACTTTTCACAGAAAATACGACTTTCATTACTATTGTGTCTAAATGTTCCTTACTCCTCCCTCAAAATTCTTTACAACAAAGTTCTATTAAAAAGTGCATGACTGAACGGTATGAGATATAAATGAAATAAAATGAAATGAAATGGGGTTTAACGTCCTACTAAGCTAATGAAGAAGAGCATATGCAATGATGAGGAAATTTTTGCCTGGACAGCGGCACTACAGCCTACTCTTATTTCGAAATCCAACTGTCAAGGGGACTTTCTCCTGCACGCCAATGTGTACATGGGACCAGTTTCGGATTTCGTCCAATCTGAACGAACATACATTATCCCTTGCTCTGCACTTAGTCCTACACCACTGACAAGAGGGAAATATGCTGGAAAATCACAAAGAACTTTCTCGCCCAAAGCAGGTATCGAACATAGGACCACCAGAAATAGCAAAACTTGATGCTATCAGAGAAAAAATTCTGGAAAACTCTTCGATAGTTCAAGGGAAAAAATTCCTCTAACTATAAAACAACAGTGACAAAACTCGAACTTGGGTTGTACCAACCCATACTACATCTCTGTGATTTCAGCTAATTTCCTGAAGCATATTGAAGAAAGTTGGAAAAACTGGGAGATTGATTTATAGTCTCCTTTCACCCGTATGGGACATAGTAATAACCAATACCCACCCTTTTAGTTTAGATGGTGGAACACTCATAATAACAGGAGCATGTTCTAAATCAGCATCAAAAAACGGATTTAACCTATTAATTATAAAAGAAAATAATATATTAATTCTGGAATTATCTATCAAGTGTTGCTCTGGTTCGTCTTAAAACCATTTAGAACTGAGTCATAAATTTACAATGTTAAACATAAGTTTCTTCAAGGATAAATGGATCATTTCCTCGACCACTACTACTACTATATCGCATTCTTCTATCTGATATTTTGATACTAACAGATTAACAGAACATAATTTCTATTGCAAACAATCCCAGGTTTATATACACTACACTTCGACAAGTATTCCCTTATCATTATCAATCATAATGGTATTTAGTAAACTGAAGGTCAATATATGATATTCATAGTGAAGTCAATATATAATAACAAGGAATATTTAAAGTACCAATATTTAGTAATTTAAATAAGTTTATCATAATAATATCTTATAGATTGTTTCAATGGCATTTAAAAAGTGAACTGAAAGTACACAGGATACTCTATGGCATACAATTCTATTTTATTACTCAGCAATATTTCATCTATTATAGAGACTTTCTGCCTGTAAATACTGATATTGCTTTTAGAGTGTCAACTTTCACAACAAAAACTACAACACAAAAATTTATATTGAATGAAATCACGGGTTATTTAACTTATAGCACAACATTTCATCAAGTATTCTCTCATCGTTTTCATAATTATATATTGTTCTTATTTAATAAATTAGTTTTTATGTTCACCTGTATTTTTTCTGATCTAATAATGTATCTGCTTCACAACAATCTGTGATATATTTAGTTGATATATAATCTCCTCCTGATGTACAACTATCTTTCTCAGCTAATCTTATCACAAAAAATAAAAAGAACATATATTGTATAATATAGTGCTCATTCAATTTAAACTGTTAAAGAAATGAAATGGGGTTTAATGTCCTATTGTTCTGCTCCGACAGATCTATTGAAGACAGACATACGCCATACAGTGTATTATGGGGGAAATCTTTCCTGAACAGCGGCACTACAACCTACTCTTATATCGAATTCCAACTGCCGAGGGATCTTTTACGTGTACGCCAATGTGTACACTGGACCATTTTTTTGTCCTATTCGAACAACTAGACAGCTGTCCTTGTCAGGCCCTTCGTCCTGCACCACTGACAAGGGGAAACCATGCCGGTAAATCCCGATGAACTTTCTCCACCAACACCAGGAGCAACTCCGCAACCTCCAGGCTAGCGAGCCAACATCCTACCCACTTAGCCACCGTGGCTCCCATTACTGTTAAAAGAAACTTGTGAAAATGCCTACCATAAGAATGAATGAATGAAAGGAGGTTCAACATCCTACTCTACTACACCAACCCGGTTAATGAAGATAGGCACATACCATGGTCGTGTTCTAGGAGGGAAATATTGGCACTTGTCAATGACAGAGGCATTTCTGTCTACAGTTTTTCAAATTCCAACTGCCAGGGGTACTTATACGTGCACAGCAATGTGTACACAGGACCTTGGTTATTGGTTTTAGTTATAGGTTTAGGAGCAAGGGTCAACCTACTTCATTCACAGATATAACTTCAATAATATTATTTTCGTACATTCTAGATAGACAAATAATATATATATATATTACTCCAGTGCAAATGAAAGTATGTTAGCTTTAATGAAATTTGAAGCAAAAATGGCCAGGGTTTGTTTGGTTTGTTTTTTTTTTAAAAAAAAGGATTTTTTTGTGGTCAGCTGGACAGTATTATGACATTGCTGCTATCAAGACTCAAAGTCGAAGACCTAAATAACAGAGAGATGATTTATTTGATTAAAGAAAAGACATAAACCTTATGCAAGTACGTCCTTCAACTTCTTTCGATTTGATTTCACCACCACCATACTGAAAAATACACATATTTTGTGGTAAATAAACTAACTATTAATGTAACAATAAAACAGTATCATTAATAATTATTTAGAAGTCTACTGCCATGTTTTTATCGTCTGCCTAGGATGTTAAATGTGGCACAAATTCCTCATATCTTTGTAAATACTGAATGGAATTGATTTTTTTTAGGACTGGTGTTGCTTTTAGAGATTTGCCTTTCTCAATACTGTAGTTAGCTATAGATTAACAATTCCTAAAATGAGTCCTTGGGTAAATTCCATCTAACATAAACAGTTCATCTGTGTGACCTTCCTTAGTACCGTACATATAATGACCACAAAAATAAAATTAAACTTTAATTAACAAATAAGTCAACCTTAATTAAACAAGTTAATTATTACAAAGCATGAAAAACTTAGTTAGTCTACTGTTGAATGAGCATGTGCATTTGACAGTACTCAAAAGACACAAGTTGCACTTGGCAGCCAAGTTAAATTTTGTAGATTGTCAAGTATCTTTCGATAAGATTATTCTGTAGGTGCATGTATATACAGATCCAAAAGCAATATTTCATATCATAGAAATTGGAGAGAATTCATCAAAATGCATTGGTCTGTTATACTGCCTTTTAAAGTTTTACTGGTATTGAGTTAAGGCTGATGTCCAACGTCGAAATCCCAAAATAAATAGATGACACATATTAATCAATTGCACATTTATCTTTTTGAATCAAACCGGAGGACCCAGAGAAAACTCACGAGGTTGGACATGCGATCATAGCCTACTCCTTGTCACGTACAACCATGCAATCAAAAGTTAGTTTATATTGTGTCCAAAATAGTGTGACGGACAGACAAACAGACAGACCCATTTTAATAGTCCTCTGCTTTCTTCAAAAGACGGGGACAATAAATAATAAGGTAATATAATTATAGGCTTTAATGGCTAGTTATAATAATATAGAGCGAAGCTCTAAAGCATCGCGCAAAGCGCGGTGCTTGAGCAAAGCTTTTTTCCGGTAACACAGGAGCGTAACTAAATCTGCCCCACAGACTGTTGATTAAAAAAAAATTCAGACCGGAACCGGATACACTGGGCAAAAATAGCAATGCGCATGCCAACTTACCAAATCTCGCCCAAGCGAGATTACGCGACTCATAGAAATATTTTTATGATGCGTTTAATCAATGACGTCACATATTTCTGACGTCAATGAAAATAATTCTCACACTTTTTTGTTCTTTTTTTTTTTACAAAATTAATCATATAATTTAGATCTAGAGATCTAAATTAAATTCAATTCGGAAAAACGAGATTATTTAAATTACTTGTATCACTTGAGAAACTTAATTATGAAGGTTTTATATTTGACAATAATCAGCTTCGCTCTACTCAGGCAATGCCTGTTACATATTAATCTACTATTAGGCCTAGTATTTAGGCTTTATTTAGGCCACATTAAAAATTAGGTCAGGTCTTTTGTTTTTAATTTAATTATTATTAAACTGCGATAATGTCTTGATTGTCGATTATTATGCATGTAGCTAAACATACTTCAATCATGGCAGCAATCCTCTGTCGTTCTTTACATGGTCGCATAACAAAAAGAAGTGATTGCCCGTTTTCATCTTTAAACAGTTTCTTACTGTATTTATGTTTACAAAATGAACTTGCCGCCATTTTCTATCGTTCAAAGTTGAAACGTTTTAATAATTCGGTCTCTGGGAATTTAACTGTTTGGTAAATCTGAAAAAAAAATGCACAGATTAACAGTAACATCAAATTTTGTTTAACCCTTGCAAAAATAATGTTAATAATTTCCAAAATTATAATTTATTTTATTAAATCATTATTTTGCGTTCCGTATTGCATTTTCAAGTTCAAATATTGTTCAACCAAGGTCTTCGGGTCTATTCTGTTACTCGATCGGCTCTCCAAATTTGGAGAGATGCGCAGGATAAAGCACGAGACTGATGTTATACTGGCTAAAGAAAGACTGCAAAAATAACCTGAGAAAAAGAAAAACCGAGATCGGTAAGCCGGTGTTTTTCTTTCGAGGGTTTTTTCTGAAGTCTTTCTTCCCCAAGCGAAGTCGAGAATTATAGAATGAATAAAAACAAGTATGTGTACGGACTATTTAAATTTTTCTCGCGTTCTCTTATATGTGTATAGTGAGGGGGGGGGGGGAATGGTTAGCACGTGCGCGCTGTATAATGACTGACACCAGTATTGTTCTTATGGCAATTTTGCTATTTATAAGAAGTAGAGGCATCCAATCTTACTAGAAAAAAATACTGGATTCCCTGAAAAAAGCCATATGGGGCGCGCACAGGACAAAAATGAGCGGCCGTCACTAAATTCCAGTCTGACGATTAGGGCTGTCTGCTCGAGTGACATCAAATGTTTGCACACGTAGATTGTCTGACCTCTTTTCATTAGGGGGCCTTTAATGTAATATGTTGATTAACATGATCGTGAGCAGACGTGGCAAAGGCGAGAGGCTTAATCGCTAGCTACAGACTAGCTGCAATATTGTAGCCGTGTCCTGTCTTATTTGCAGCTACAACTGATACACTATTCGAGGCTTCGCGCAAAAATTATATTCAGTTGCAAATTTTAACACATATATATACCATCACAGTTTGTATGGAAATAAGTAATTGTGCTACAAATAGTGAAGAGTGGAACACTGAAATCTTATTATCTTACCGAACAGTTTTTTTGTATTTTCGAGAGACGTAAAATCAAGTGATTCTGGTTCGGCGGCCATTTTAAAATGAACAGAAATTTCGCATAGCTGTTGGGTTTAATCAAATCATATAATTATGCGGTAAGGTTATGGGAATTGGTTTATTATATGTACTGTAGGGCCTACGTACAGTACTTGCATGAGGTCAGTGTATTGGAAAATAGCAATAGGCCAGTAACTTGCTCAAAGGAATTCCGTAGGACGATCCACAACTGTGGCTGGGGCAAGACGGAAGATATCAGTAGTGGAACCATTTCTAGCTATGGATCTGCCCTCGTGGCGATATCATTACACTTGCACTAACCCAACGCCAAGTCTTTCTCAATCTGTTTCACAGAGAATTACGAGTCTCGTATAATATCTCTGTCATAGATGACTGCCTTAACACGTGCTGTCACAGCACGCGGTGTGAATCATTGGCTGAATGGCGCGTGCATTGTTTACATAAGACATAACTGCTTCGGAGAGAATGCTGCATTTTAGTCATTTTAATACCCATTTACACTAAATCGGAAATAATTTTTACCTACAAATACGTCAAACGCCTTTATTTATTTTTCCAATATATACAAAAAATGTTTTAGAATTTAATTTGTCATAGGAAAAAAGTTAATATTTCTAGCTCATTAAGCCGCATCAATGTCATCTTTATCAGTGATTGTCGCGGCCAAGCAAATATTCACTGCGGATCAGTGTGAGTCTTTCTGTGAAATAAAAACCTCCAAAAAGATTGAAATTGGATGGAGAGCTGAGATTGTATAATAGAATGAGCTCTGGGGAGATAACTCTAAGTAAACTGGTCTTGGTTCATTAAAAAAAAAAAATAATTCCTGTTTAACATCGGAAAAATTCTCTGAAATATTTTAGGATACATCAGTGTTTGTGACACTATAAACAAACATCATTGGATCTAGATATCAGAAAGTCAAACGAGTTGGCCGTTTGATATCCGTAGTCTCGACTAACAAGACCGACTGAATAAATACTATTTCATAATACGAACTACCACGTGGGGTTATGACATTCGAGACTTTCAATGTTATTTTGAGATAATTCGTTTATCATTTTGTACCCGAACAGATCAAGTTCATTATTACTGTACTGGGACTTTTCCTGAAATTTTAGTACGCCAAACACGACACAATGGAAAATCTACAGGATCCAAAAATGCGGCAGTTTGTCGAAATGGAGACCCAAAAACAGAAGTTTCAGCAACTTGTTTATCAACTAAATGACCAGTGCTGGGAAATGTGTGTAGACAAACCTGGACAAAAGTTAGATAGCAAAGTAGAAACATGTTTAACAAACTGTGTTCAACGTTTCATTGACACAACAAATTTTGTTGTTAATAGACTAGAAAGCACAACTCTACCGACAAGCTCAACTGGCTTAAGTTCAGAATTTTCCTAATGTAGTACTAGAGGTCTAAAAATAGGGCCTATCCTATGGAATGAATTTGTGAAACAAGAGTTGTAGAGAAGCAGATAATTTTTTTGCTTAATATATGGTGTCAGATGCATTAGTAGAAACATGTGGTAAATTGATGCAATAAAAACAAAAATGACATAAATTTATAACACTAAACAGTACCGTTATAGCTAATTGTATTCTGTGTGTATCATTTAATATGAAGGTACTGTTAACCGAGATATCAGCTTAACTGATTTTGTGATCAAAGTAAACAAAAATAATAACTAAAATTTGTTAATACAGCAACAATCAACAACTACCAAAATGAAATTTAATCTTATATCACTTATAACAGAATAAAAGGGATTTTGCTTATATAATAGAAAAATTGGATAAATATCTTGAAACCACTGTGTGCTCAGTTATTCAGGTTATATTAATTGAAGAATAGATTTATTTAGCTGATTTATTAAATCTCATTTAAACTTACATGTAGTTATAAAAGGCCAGATTATATGTTACCGGTATATGAAATGTAAGCTATAAGCTTATACATGTACATATATGATCATGAGAAGAAGTATTGTGTAAATTGATACATGTATCATTCAATGTAATGAAGATTGATAATTGGTAGGCCACATTGCATTTTATTATACTTGTAACTTGAAATCTTCAGATGCATGTTCTTGTAGATAATGTATATTATTATCATTAAACATTAAGAAAGAAATTTGATGTCTTCATCCAGTACAGTGAGCCACATCGGCTCATTGGGTATGTCACTGGTTGGCTAAGAAGGAGGGCCTGGATAGATCCTCAGTATTTTCCAGTATGGTTTACCCTGGTCAGTGGTGCAGAACCTGGATTTTAGGAAGATTGTCTGGTTGTTTGGGTAGCAGATGTAATTTAAAGAAGAGTACTGTAGGAAGAAATGCTGCTGTCGGACAAATTTCCCATATAGCATGGATGCCCATCTTGATTAGCCCAGTTGGCACAGAAAAATAGGACATTAAACACTTTCATCTGATTTTTTTCATAAAGCCAAAGTGTTCTGTAGGTAGGGCTGGGTAAAATATCGATATAAATCGATAGTATCGATTGGACGGCCCAGAAAAGCACTATCGATAGCGGTGGGTTACTATCGATTATCGTTCTTCGTCTATTTTTCTTGCGTCTGAAATGTCAATGTTTTCTTTCAATTAATCATAATACACCGCTCACTTAAATTACTATCAAGTATCAATGTAACACATAACAAAATTGTGACTGCTTATTGAACAGCCGTTTTCATAAATTCACTCCCATTGAAACGTTACTTTAGTTTTGAAGAAATTATTGTTGAATATCGCTAAATCGGAGATACCCGGATGTGTAAATAAAGTTAGAGTTATTTCTCTTTGCAAGCTTCAGAATTCGTCTGCCATATTGATATTTTCGCGCGCACGTACGCAATGTTTTGAATCGGAACAAGTTCATTTTGGTCCCTTAACATAATTATTTACGATATTTCCTCAATCTTAACCACGGCTGCATTATTTTATTAATAAACAACACCAATTTACGTATATATACGTGATATAACAAGTTTTATTAATGTTTTCCAAATAAATCTCCTTAGACAGGAGCAAACGATCTTTCACAACTTCGTATGGTTTTGAAGTTTGAACTTACACTGTATCCAGTCTTGATGACGACCGTGAAAATAAGTTTGTTTTCGATACTATCGATTATCGACCGACATTTCATTGCCGATTATCGATAGTAAAAATCACTATCGATACCCAGCCCTATCTGTAGGGATGATAATAAAATGTTAGATTTATGTGTTCTTAGTGAAATGGGACACAGACTGAACTGGTGCCTTAGAACCTGATTATTTCAGAGATACATATGAGTTTTAACTACATCATTTGATTTAGCGATACTGACATATACAACTCTATTGGCTTTACACCTCCATCTTTACAGGTTAGCTCATGTTTATCCATGAGTGTATGAATGGCCATCTAAAGTTCACAAGTGGCTATTAATTTTAAGCCTCCATTTTACAGTCTTAACATCTTTACAGCAGGAGCCACAGCGAATCAGTTAGTAAGAAGCTGGTGCGCTAATCAGGAGGTTTCGTGTTCTTTCCTTGTGTTAGCCGAGAAAGGACCTGGATTTTCTGTCATGGTTTCCCCGAGCAAGGAACAGTGTCTAGTCATTTGGATGGGACAAAAAAACAACTGAGGCCTCGTGTACACATTGGCGTGCACATAAAAGACCCCTTGGCAGTTGGAATTTTAACTAAATAGTAGGCTGTATGCCCTTTAAGAGTGGGGTTTCGGTTGCAAAACAATTGGACAACTTTGAAGTAGCTTAACTCACCGGTCAAAATAGCAGAAAACACATTCACTGCCATTAAAATTTTCTCGGGGAGGGAGACCTACAGTTCCGTGCACCTCACATCAAAAGCTCGCCGTAACAGACCGTTTCATTGGCTAATTCCTCACATCACCCAGATCACGTCAATGGTAACAACTCTTCCATGCAAGTAAAACGAAATTTTGAACTATAAAAAACGAAACGAAATAGGATCTGTGTTTTAATCAGATTGACTGACGAACAACATTGTTTACTTTGAATATATAGTATAAAATTAACTTATTTTTAAGATGGTACATGCATTAAAGGACAATATCTTATATCGAATTCCAACTGCCAAGGGATCGTTTACGTGCACGCCAATGTGTACACGGGACCTTGGTTTTTCGTCCCATC